TCTATCATCTATCTATCTATCTATCATCATCTATCATCTATCTATCTATCTATCATCATCTATCTGATTGTTGGCAGTATTACAGATGTCCCCTAATTTCCCGTTAGCCCCCCTCCTCACAGCCCCTGCCCCACCCCAGGCTTTCACCACACTATTTTCTGTTTCCATTGGTTATGCCTATATGTATATAAGTTCTTTGGTTAACCTCTTCCCGTCTCCCGCCCCCCACTCTGAGATATGTCAGCCTGTTCCATGCAGCCATGCCTCTGGGACTGTTTTGTTCATCAGTCAGTTTATTATGTTCATTAGACTTCACATATAAGTGAGATCAGGTGGTATTTGCCTTTCTCTGACTGGCTTATTTCACTGAGCATAATATTCTCCAGGTCCCTCCATGCCATCGCAATGAGTAAGAAATCCTCCATTTTTACAGCTCAGCCACTAATGGGCATTTGGGCTGTTTCCAGATCTTAGCTATTGTAAATAATGCTGCTATGAACATAGGGTTGCATATATTCTTTCTGATTGGTGTTTTGGGAATCTTAGGATATATCCCTAGAAGTGGGATCACAGGGTCAAACAGCAGCTCCATCTTTAATTTTTTGAGGAACCTCCATGCTGTTTTCCACAGTGGCTGCACCAGGAAGATTGGGATAATGTCTCCTTTGTCGTCTTTTCAGCGTCTTGTAGTCTGTGCTTGTTAGAGCACACTTCCTTGGAGTCTAGGACATTTCTCTCTCCTCCCTGGAGACACTTACGCTTTCTCAGGCTAATGATGCATATTTGGTTGCCATTGATGTCTATATTGAAGTTGAAACTCTCTGAGTTAATTGGATATACATGGAAAAGAAATTAACCTGCGATTTGACTGTAGTTAAAAGGATGAAATATTTTTAAAAAACCATAAAATACAGCAGAAGAAAAGGTCATAAGAGGAGTACAATGTTAAGTCATGGAGGGAGGAGGGAGGGGAGAATTTCAGTAAAGACGGGTGATGAAATTTAAAACTAGGTCAGAGAGAATAACTCTGTCGTCTCTCCCACAGTTTTGTTTTTTGAAGTTGTATGAAAGCATTGTAGATATGTTAAAATGTCAAAATCAATGTTATAGACCTTTTTAGATTCTAATTCTGGGGGAAAATAGTTCCCTTATTAAAATATAAGTTGACTTTATTATTATTTTTTTTTATTTTTGTTATTTCTCTCTTAGATGGCTGGCATGGAAGTTGGAAAAAAGATTTTTGCTATTAATGGTGACCTAGTTTTTATGAGGCCTTTCAATGAAGTGGATTGCTTCCTGAAATCATGCTTAAACAGCAGAAAACCTCTAAGAGTTCTTGTGAGCACAAAGCCAAGGGAGTAAGTTGTACGATTTATGTGGGATTTAAAAATATATATACATTAGGTGAATAAAATAGAAAAGTTAAGCAAATGTCTAGAATTAAACATGTCATTGCTTGAAACATTTAAACCTCACCAACATTGCTAATACTGGTCTTTAAATGATGGGAAAAGCTACATTGTTTATGGTGACAAAATGCTTGCTACTTGAATCAGGTAGTTTCAGCAGAAATAATCCTTTCCTTTTGCTGCCTAAATTTTCCTGGTCTGAGTTGGGTTGAGTCTGTCTATGACTGAAGAAAACCAATAAAACACTTGATAAGAACTGCATTTCCCCATGTTCAGCTCTAAGAATTTCAGGGGCTATGAGTTGATTCAACACACTTATATTTAAACGCTGAAAGGAGATGGGATCAAGACTGGGTGAAAACAAATTCCATGCTTGTGTGAATATAGAAATAGATCCATTCTTTAAAAATATATATCTGCCTATCTATATACCTATGATTAGAAAAAATTCATGTTTATCATAGTAAACTCAGAGTACAGACTTATTCATTGGAAATTCAGTGTTAGTTGAATTTCTTAAGTACTGACACACATGTGCACAATCATATATTTATAAAATGGGATATGCTTTATGATTTTTTCTTTTAGAAAAATTAATAAGATATTATGGATATACTTGGAAGACATTGTAAAGCATTGTTGGTCTCCTAGTCCTTCTCAGGTTTCCATTTGTTTAACCAATGAAATAATAAAAATAATGTATATTAAGTACATATCATAATGTATTAGTGTATGTATGTACTATGGTTATATCAAAATTACTGTTTAAGACTTAATTATATTATTTGTCAGCAGTGATAAGCAACTTCATTAATTTTAAGATAAATGAAGGTTACCATGTCAAAAACAAAATGGTTTATTTTAACTACTTATAGGAAGATTTTGAGTATATATAATATAGTCTTCTTCCCTGCCTCAACATATTTATCCAGCAAGGCTTGGTACACTATTTATCTAAGACTTGAAGTGCAGTGTAATGGGCTAGATCATGTAGTGTTAATCAAGGTAGATGCTTCTACCAACAGCTTACCAAGGGTTCTGAAAGAGTAGACCTCATTAAAGTTACTCACTTAGAAGGACTTTGGGCTAGAGAGCAGCAAATAACCATAACAATGTCATCTCTCCAAAACTATGATCTAGTGACCTTCCCTTTCTCCAGGCCATCTAGGATAAGGCTAACCTAGTTGCCTACCTCTGGACACTTTGAGGACATTTAAGAAGAAAGGAATAAGGGAGTGGTATTCCAAAGCAATCACTGGTGACCATGAAGACTCTCCCAATGGCCCCGTGACCCCTAATTTAACCCTACAAATACTGGTCCACTGATCACAAACATTTCAAGAGGTAGAGGACTTTGAAGTCATCGGCTTGAAAACTAAATAGATAGGGCACATCCTCAGTCCTGGAAGTAGTTGCGAGATGAGCAGGGTTGGAACCTGGGGCTTCGGATTCTTCCCTCGGCATTCGCTGCACAGTGGCTGGAACTTGATATTTCTGGTTTAGGTTCAAGCCTCTCATCCACCACTTGCCGGCTAACTGCATTGCTTCAACATCCTAATCCATAAACAAACTGGGCTAGTAGGAGTGCCTGTGTCACAGAGCTGCTAAGAACACTAAACAAATCTAGGCTTGGAAAGAACTTAGTGACACATTCAGCTCCCAGTATGTACTCCAGTAACGTGACCTATGATGCTTTTCTGTTTTCTCATTTCATTTTTTCCGTTGCTTCTTGATTACATCAAGAGCATATTTTACATTGTATTTTAAAGCTATTTTGAGGATGGAGTACTCATTTTTTTCTTCTTATTCATTTGTTTGAAATTTATAACCTTTCCTTTATGTTTTCATTCTGATGTACAATTCCTAGAAATCACTCTCATATTTTCTTGCAATAGCTACTTACAATTTATGAAATATCTTGTTTGGGAGGAAAAAAAGCAAAAATATGAGAAGTAAATACAACAGATTTTTTTTCTTTTGAATCTAGCTGTATTTTACAATAGATAACATCAGGGAATTTTTCAGCAGGCTTTGTAAAAGATAATTTAGGCACTTGTTTTCTGCAGGAAGTAGAGCATCCTTCCTGTATAAATGTAATTCTTCTTTTAATAGGCAACATAGTGTTCCCACCAGGGAAACATATTTTCCAAACATCATTTTATGAATGGAGTCCCCAAATTACGACCAAATGCATCTCATGGTGTTCTATATAAATTTCGGTAAGAAAATTATAATAATCCTCTAGATTAGGGTAGGGTCAAACTTCTGAGCAATATTAGAAAGATGGAAGACCTTGCTTAGAAAGGGTTGAGAGGCCCCTGAATTCTTCACCATCCTGAAGAACAATAATTCATCATGGCCTGAGAGCTTTAAGTTATTTCAGCAAAAGTGAACTCTCACTGATAATATAGAGAAGCATGAGCGACCTCTATTTTTTGTTTCATGCTCAGAAAATTTATTTATTCCCTTTTCTTTTCCTTAGTTATCTTCTATTTTCAAGTGTGTCTTTGGCAGATACTCTCAACAAGTTACTATTCACAGAAAGCAGATACAGCTTTATATACCAAAAATTATTTAATTAAGGATTAAAGACAAATTAGTTCTTTGACATCCTTCCCACCAATGTGTAGATAACTTCGTAGTGTGTAAACGGATTTATAACAAGACTCCCAAGGTTCCCTGGAACAGGCAATGTATATTTGTCGCCGAATGCCAGAGTGCCTGCCCGGGTTATATTTTAGGTTGCAGTGCCGGCCCCTGCCTCAGGCTTTCTCACGCTTTCTCACGTGTTCTAGGCACCAGGGCGCTCAAACTGGCCCAACAACTGTTTCATAAACTGCAAATAAGGCTCGAGACTGTTTAATGTGCCTTTGAAGTACTGCTGCATTTATTTCATGACTTGCTCATCAGCTTTTGGAAAACACTTCTGTTTCTTGGGCATCCAGGGCTATCCATCAGCATTTATTGCATCTTTGTTCATTTGTCCCCGCTCTATACTGCAATTTATTATACTCAATTTTATTGTTATGAGGTTCCATCGTATCTCCTGTTCTTTGCTTTTCTGTTATATCTGGCTTCTGGCTTCCTTCTATGGAGTAGCTCATTTGTTGGTGCCAAATCCAACATCCCCCTCTGGTTTGCCGTGTCAGCTCCCTCAAGTTCTCCACCCCTTTGTCTTCTTTTCCGTGTGGATCCATTGAAAATTTATTTTTATTTATTCAGGTTTACCTTCTGATGTATTATTCTTTTAAAGTTCCACTGAATAAATGCTAATCATATTCTTAAATTACTTTGATACAGTGTTTGACACATCTGTTCTTTATAGCTACCTCATTGTTGTGTTTTGATGGAGTTCACAACAGGTAGAAATGTATTCACTCTGTGTTTCTTTTATGTTAATGTTAACAACGAAATTTCACAGTGCCCCGATGCCTTCTTCGTAATAGTAAACGAAGGAGAGAAGCTTCCATTTGGTTAAGTACCTACCTAGTTCATAGCAAAATGCAGGGCAGTTGACCACAGGTATCTCTTTGCACCTCCACCGACACCTTGCGGAGTCAGCTTTACACCATCATCTTTCTGGAAACAGGCTCAGAGGAGTTGAGTTCATTCAAGGTATCCAACTCTCAGGTCCCTAAACGAGGATCCAGAGCAGTCCTCACTCCGGGTGCACTGTGCGGGCCACGGCGAGTGAGGGCGCTGCGGTGCGGCCTGCCCCGGGCCCTTGCCAGGCCACACACCGGGCAGGGTGCCTGTTTCAAGGGTTTCGAACCCAGGGTTTTTGTCACACAGTCGACCTTCAATACGAATTCATTGAAAGAATAAATGAAGGTGCGGACAACTATTGTTCTGGCCAGTTGTGGTGTTTTAAAGTCATCTTACCCTATTTTTGGATTGATTTTAGGACCGTGAAAATCCCAGATTCAGCTGAGGGGCTTGGATTCCAGATCCGCGGCTACGGCCCATCCGTTGTGCATGCGGTAGGAAGAGGTGAGAAAGCCATCCTGCCACATTAACAGCTTTCCAGCATGTTTGCTATTCTTTGCTACACAAGAATATGTTTAAAATGTGCCTCTCATGTTATGAATTTTCTCGATTATATTTTTACTGCATTAACTCTATGGTAGTATATTTCTAAAATAATATTTTTGAAAACCTGTTAAAAATTGTAAGGCATGCCCCAGCTGAGTAGCTCGGTATCAGAGTGTCGTCCTGATACAATAAGATCAGGTTCAGTCCCCAGTCAGGGCACATACAAGAATCAACCAATGAATGCATAAATAAGTGGAACAAAAAAATCAGTGTTTCCCTCTCTTTCTCCCTTCCTCTCTCTCTAAAATCAATCAATAAAAAAAATTGTAGGGCATTTTTATCTCTGTAAAAATTTATAAATGAATGATCCCTCCTAAAACCTGCATGCTTTTCTGCATGCTTTAGTTTAGCCAAAGGATATAATGATTCTTAAGGCCATCTATTTGTCTTTTTCTCTGACAGCAAATAGTTATATTTTTGTCAGTAATTCAGAGATGTGAGTTTTCAGGTTTAAGAATGATCTGTGTGCTTTATAGCCTGTCGCTGTATGATTACTTCAAGTATTCCTATAAGCTATGCATTTTATAAACCATAAAATGCATTTTAAATTAAATAATTTTAGTGATTAAAAATTTTGTTTATATTTTATTCTCTTTTTGTTTGATGGACAAATTAGTTATTGATATCTCTTGTTATATGTATTTTCCTCAAAATTTTTTAAAGATTCTGGGAGTGAATTTTAGTGAGGACAATTCTTGAATATAAATTATGGTCTTCAAGATGTTTATTAATTCTTTCATAGGAGAAATTGCTTGTAAAGAAAGGCTCTTCTAACATACTTATGATAAATTTTATAGTAATTTATATTAATTATATTCATTGTTTTATTAATGGTGCTCTGATTTGCTCAGAATATCAAATAATAATGATTGGAGGGTTCTGAAAATCTTAACTCACTGGTTAGGATATGCCATTTCCATACTTAAGTCAATGTCTGTGCAAATAAATGATGGACAGTTGATGTTATCTGATTAATTTTATTCTTCAGTTCTCTGGTTCCTAACCCTTTGTGCATATCCTGAACTTATTTTTCTTAGCAAATCCAGTCCAATTGTAGTTGCTAACTGATTTTTTTCCTTAAGAATTTCTGTAATTGTTGGCATTTAAAAAAGTAAAAGTGAATACTATTTTAATTTTTAGAGATTTTGTAAACTAAAGAAAGATAAATAAGGCACATTTTTGGCTTTCTCATTTGCCATTATATATGCATACTTAGAAAATTAGATTGACATTTTAAAGGGAAAATAACTGATTAGCATTATAAAGGTTACTTTACAAATCTCTTCAAACTAATTCATAGGGAGGTGGGAAAATAATCTGTTAATCACAGTTTGGCCTGTTAAGTTGCAGAAAAATTTTGAGAGGGTATTGCTATCAGAACCAAATTTATCAAAAAACATTAGCTAGATCTTTATTATACAGGGTGTCCCCCAAAAACCTATACACTACTAAAAGCTGATAGATCAATTGATGTTTCTTTCTTTTCAGATTTAACCCATTGGAATTAATAATTATTCAAAGTGTGTATACATTTTGGGGGAGACACCCAATATTTAAAAATTGCTTTCCTTATTGAATATGTGATAAAAACAAATCTTTTTCCTAAAATTAATTTTTGGCAATTTTCTCATTTGCATTTAAAGGAACTGTGGCTGCAGCAGCCGGTCTTCACCCTGGACAGTGTATTATCAAAGTCAATGGGATCAATGTCAGCAAAGAGACACATGCCAGCGTTATTGCACATGTCACAGCCTGCAGGAAGTACAGGAGACCAACGAAGGTAAGCTGCCTCTCCGCTTCTCTAGATCTAATTGCATAGAAACCCCAGTGGACAACATAGAATGTGTCAGAGATGTTTGTGGTTTCCCCTTCTAGGTTCACACTTAAGCACAGCGTTGTAAATCTCATCACGACTGCTTTATCAGCATAATGAGTTATGATCTCGATTATGTTTAAATGGTTACGTTATATTGTTGCAATATTTCCACCTATTTAAAAAGTATTCTGGGCCATTTTCATGGTGATTTGAGGTTTTAAGTTTATCAAATTGAAATCCAAATATTTAAAATGCTTTCTTGACCCTTGTGATAGCTTTAGAATATATAATGGTCATCCTGTGTCTGTATATATGAATTATAAATGCTTACAATGTTTATTAGTAGAATTTTGTGAAAAACAAAAACTTGGGGATTTTATGGGGTCTGCAGTTGAGTTTTTAATGTATTTATTAGGCAATTGAATTTAGCTCTGAAAAGAAAACACCAAAATGTACTCATTATTTAAAAATTTCAGTACTACCCTCCGATCCAAATTTCAAGTGTCATAGAAAAATAAAATTACAATCCTAATTTATAAGCAAATCTTATTATTTCATGAGGCACAAGTGAATTTTGGACTAAAAGAGAAAAATTCAACTTAATTAACTAAATACAAAAGGGTTTTAAACACCAAAAAACTTCAAATGAGAGGATTTGTATTTTTTCTGTCATGTACGATGAAGTACTATCTTCTGGATTGGAGAAAACGACTGTGCAAACCAGAAAGACGAATGCCTATTTTCTCACATCTCAGGCCTGATACCTGCAATGTACTGAACATACAAGAAAATAGCTCATCAATTTTGCTTACTAATAAGGTCAAACTAGCATAGCAAATTAGAATTCACACATTGACGCATAGGTTATTCTGGTTGACAGTAAGTAGTTTAATACATATTTATTTGAACTGTATTATTGAATGAATTTTTAAAAAGGACTCTTCTGAAATTATCAAATCTTCCCCCTTCTATCAGAATTTTAATAAGTAGCTAAGTTGATTTCAGTTTCACTCCTTCTGATTTTCCCTGCCTGCCTTCTTGGAGAGGTATTGCTGATCGATAACACGAAAAACAATATTTTAAACAAAAATAAAAAACAAAAACAAACAATAAATGGACAGAAAAAATTTATGAAATGAATAACATGTTCTCTCAGGTATCCATTGTCACAAAACAGACTGTCCCACCATTTGTTGGCTTAAAACAATAGTGACTGATTATTTCTCTTGATTCTGAGGGTTGGCCGTGTGTTGTTTCCTGCGAGGGCACTGACATCTTTGTTGTGTGGGGACTGACCGCGCACTATGGTTCCACTGCTGGTGACCTTTCTCTCTAGACTCCTCCACATGGTCTCCTTTTCCTGTCTTTAGCAGGGTTTTCCTTTCTGCATGGTGTCTGGATTTCAAGAGGGGATATTACAATCCATCAGCTCTCTTCTTACATCATGCTTGCTAATATACCTTTGGGGAAAAATCAGATCACATGACTAAGTCCAGGGACCGTGTGGGAAGGAATTACATAAAAGTGAGGATACTGGGGGATGTGGGTCATTGGAGGCCACAACACGTTACCAAAATGTATTTAAATGATCAAATATTAGCTAGCATTTTAATGATGCATAGCAATAAATAATTAAAGACAATTGTGAAGTTAATAGTACAAGAGAAAAGTGGATAATTTAATTATATCACACCTCAGTAGTGCAATTCAATTTATCATCTTACCTAGGAAAAGTATAAACTTAAAGTAATGCAACTCAAAGCATTTACTTGGTAGCCGGTTTTCTCTCATTTATCTAAATAAGACTGAAACTGCTATTTCAATTAAAATAGAGGATGATTTATGATAGCAGAAGATTAAAAGATAGTTACATCACTTGAGAATCCTAATGAGATGAAAGATGTTCTTCCAATTTTTTTATAGTTTGATTCAAAAAAGCATTAAGTGTATTAAAATATATATGACTGTGAGGAGAGCATTTAAATGGTTTGTACAGTTATAGATGGTTGATTCTTTGGAAAACTATTCATCTAAAATTTGTTATTTTATAATTCACTTTAAGATATACTTGAGGCATTTAAGTAAGACACTTGGGAAATATATCTTACTTAAAAGTATACCATTGGGGGATAAAATTTCAAGCTTTAAAAGGTCTGCTTGTTAAACAATAACAATAGTTGACATGGGCATTCTATTAGTTTCTGACATTGATTTTCTTTCCAAATTTTATTATTTTTAAACAAACTAGAAGGAAAATAAGGTTGTCAGCTCTCTTTCTGAAACAGGTTTATGGAATGGATATGCATTTTTAGGAAGCTCTAATACCTCAGATGTTTTTTCCCTTCCTGATTTCCAGCAAGATTCCATACAGTGGGTTTATAACAGCCTTGAGAGCGCTCAAGAAGACCTTCAAAAGTCTAACGCCAAACCCCCTGGAGATGAAGGAGGGGATGCTTTTGACTGCAAAGTAGAAGGTGGGTTCCTTTCCTCCTTATTTGTTCATAGCATTTTTCAATGTGCCTGTGCCTAGTCCCAATTAATTGAAAATCTTATATGCTCTAGCCACTTTTTTTCCCCTATTCTGGAATATAAAGCTCTTTTTTAAAAAAAAGATTTTAAATTAATTTTTAGGGAGAGAGAGAGAAACATTGATGGGAGAGTGGAATGTCGATTGGCTGCCTCCCGCATGCCCCATACTGGGATCAAGCAGGCCACCCAAGCATGTGCCCTGACTGGGAATCGAACCAGCAACCCCTGGTGTATGGGACAATACCCAACCAACTATTCCACACTGGCCAGGGCTAAAGCTCTTTTTAATTATAGTTGACATAACAATATTATATTAGTTTCAGGTCAAATCACTATGTTATACATTTGTATACCTTACAAAGTAATCACCATGAGAAGTGTAGTAACCATCTATCACTGTACAAAGTTCTTACAATATTATTGACTATTCCCTATGCTGTACATTATATCCCCATGATTTATTTATGTTATAAATAAGTCCCTCTTAATCTCTTTCACCTTTTTGTCCATCCCCCCATTCAAACCACTTCCTCAAGTAATTGTCACCGATAGATGTCATGTCACGTGCCTAAGTAATAACAGCTTATAGCTAACATGNCCCATCCCCCATTCAAACCACTTCCTTAAGTAATTGTCACTGATAGATGTCATGTCACGTGCCTAAGTAATAACAGCTTATAGCTAACATGTAATAGCTACTGCACTTTGGTAGTCACTTTATTAAGTGTTTTATATCGATTATCTCATAAAGTCATCAAAGGAGNGTAATAGCTACTGCTCTTTGGTAGTCACTTTATTAAGTGTTTTATATCGATTATCTCATAAAGTCATCAAAGGAGAAAATCTTATAAGGTGTGATTATCACCATCCTCATTTTATAGGAGAAGAAATTGAGGCTAAGGGAGTTACCCAAGCTAGTACATGGTCGAATGGGGATTCAAACCCAGGTTATAGTGTGTTTCCTTGTTTTGAGTTTGGATGTTGTATGGACCTTCTTACTCTAATGTGGCTTGCAGACCAGCAGCAGCAGCACCTGGAGCAAGAGAGAGACGCGGAATCTCAGCCCCAGCCCAGATCTACTGACTCAGAATCTCCATGTTAATAAGATCTGACCTGAATGCACACTAATATTCGAGAAGCCCTAGTTTAGAAGGTCCATGGTTCCTTTGGAAATAATTCTTGATTCAAGCAACTTTTACTGTACTGTAACACTGATAGTAATGAAAGAGGCGAACCAATGTGAAAATGAGAGAAAGACCATTTGATAAGGACTCCTATCTTCCTGTTTTCCCAGTGAAGAGAACCAGCAGATTGCTGTGTTGAGTGGCTTCTTTGCCAAGGGCGAAGGGGCTGAGGCAATTACATTTGTGTTTGCATTTAACAAATGCCTCAAATTATTGTTTCAAACGTTTTTCACAGAAGTCCTTGAATCCTCTCTTCCATTGTCCTGGTATCTCTCCATATATATATTTGTTGGGTGTCTGTAAATATTTATTGTCATTTCAGTGTCTTCCAAACCAGCACAGGTGGAGAATTCCCTCTACATACTGCTCCTATGTGGAAACTTAGGAAAAGCTTTTTTCCCTCCACTCGTGGAAGGCTACTTGTTAAGAGCCACTTAGTTCATGGACAGTATTATTAGTGCTCAGCCTATTAGAGTGCAAGCTTGTTATGATAAATCAGATCTCTTATTTATTTAAACCAGCTCTCTTATTTATTTAAGTCTCAGGGCCTCATCCTGCGGCTTTTATTTTTCATTTATAGTTAGTTTCTGCTAATCATCATTGCTGTCGCAGTGAAAGGTTGATGAGATGCTTTGGAATTTGATCTCTAGCTATTCTGGGACTTAATTATTTTAAATAAACTAATATTCCATTTTTGCTTATTTAGTATTTGCTATTAGGTTTCTCAGTATTTCTTATTTGAGATTTTAGGTGTGGGGTTTTTTGTGTGTGTGTTTTTGTTGTTGTTGTTTTTTACCAGCTGACTGATTGTAGGCCAAAACCTATAAGAGGACATTGCAGATGGAAATGGTATTATAGTGAATGATGACAAATTTTCTCAATGAGCTATCTCTGGAAGATGCTACTTGGTAGAATCCAGGCACCCTCTCTGCTGAAAGAAAAAAGTTTATTGCCTCTCCTTTCTGCTTCTTAAATATGACTTTATATATTTTCTCTGCTTTCAGAAAATATTCATCCAATGTTTAAGGCAGTTTTGAGAATGCTGATTTTAATTCATGCATGCTTTTAATGAGAAAATATAAAATTGTGTGCATAATATTTATATTGGTGTAAATAGGCATACATATGGTCCATAGATCTAAATGGATATGCAAAGATAAAACGAGTTATGTTAGAGTGGTGAGATTTGGATCACTCAAACATATTTATAAAAAATGTTCTTTTCTAGAATAATGTTCACAAGGATAGATGCTTCATTTAGCACATCGGATTTAGCCATCCTTTAAAACACTCTTTAAAAATTATTCAAGGAGACTCAAATTATTTGAAAAGACTAACATAAATTTGCTGAATTAAAATTGTCTCTATCCCAGAGGTAATTGACAAGTTCAACACCATGGCCATCCTCGACGGGAAGAAGGAGCACGTGAGCCTGACGGTGGATAACGTGCACCTGGAGTACGGGGTCGTGTACGAGTACGATAGCACCGCCGGGGTCAAGTGCAACGTGGTCGAGAAGATGATCGAGCCCAAAGGCTTCTTCAGCCTCACTGCCAAGGTAGAGGCGGTCCTGGGGACCCGGGATTGATTGTGTTTTCGATAAAGCAGCTGGAACCCTCGCCCACCCCCACCTTATGAGATGTAAATAGCTGTAATAACGTAAATAATTCTCAGTTCATTGAACATATTCGGTGATCCAGAGTGTACACGTTTCTGCGCTTGCGCGCACACGCACACACACACACACACACACACACACACATGCGCGCGCGCGCGCGCGCGCACACACACCTGCCTTACCACTGATTCAAATAGCCAAAAGGATTTACTAATTGAACACATAATAGGATGCTTTTATCTGCTGCTGTTATCAGATAAGGCTCACACACTGTAGATAACACTGATTGCTACTTTATCAAGAGCACTTATTTTTTTATTCTTTAAGTTAAATGCACTCTCACTACCAGACAAGTAATTTTTTTGTTCTTCTTTAAAATTGAGAAAAAATATGTTCTGAGTAGCATAGGCATTGTGTTCCCACATCAGTGTACTGATTTATCCAGCAAGGAGTCTTAAAAGTCTACCCACCTTCAGGAGTCCTTTTATAGCCAGCAGAAGGCAAAGCCTGAGATGCGGGGCCCACAGGCCCACAGAAGCCAGGGCTTCACTGAACAGAAATACTAGGCAGCTCCAATAAGACCACGGGCGGTCACTCAGTGTGTTGTGGAACTGTGAACATTTTATTTGGCTAATTTGGCAGGTTTCATTTTCTTGTTCTGTTTTGTGTTTTGTGTATATGCGTGTGTGTGTGACTACAGATTCTTGAAGCCCTGGCTAAAAGTGATGATCATTTTGTACAAAACTGCACCAGCCTTAACTCTTTGAATGAAGTGATTCCTACTGAACTTCAGAGTAAATTCAGTGCCATTTGCAGTGAAAAAGTTGAGCACATATGTCAGAGAATATCCAGTTACAAAAAGGTAAAAGTTCTATGTATGTATTTTACGTGTAACTATTATTTAAAGTATTGTTTAAGTGTCAAATTTAATTCAATTCCTAGTATTTTCACTACTTATTTTTGTACCAGTTTATTGAAATGATAACATTTATAACATTTTAGAGTTTTGAAAATGCCTGTAAATCTACTACCTCATTTCATCTTTGCAAACCTGTAAGCTAGGTCATTATCCACATTTTCTAAATGTAATAACCAAGGCTTAAAGAATTATATTACCCACTAGCAAAAGATAGAGTTGAGATTTGAATCCCGACCACCTAATTCTGAAGTTAGATTTTAAAATTACGGTACAGTCCTTCTTTCCCTTTTCTCTCAACAGAGGGAACAGAGCCCTTAATCAGAAAGCATGCGGAGCATCGGCTGTTTTAAATTGATCAACTGTTTCATTTACTTGACATATTTTATCGAGCATCTTTTATATGCCAAGCTCTGTTCTTGGACCCAGGGATATGGGGCAAAAGAGAGAAGCTATTTTCTCTCATGAGGCTTATGTCCGAGTGGGGGAAGCAGTAAAGAAGTAAATGCTTATCTTCAAGGGGAGGGGAGTCAAATATTGAAAGGAGTTATGGGGAAATCAAAATAGGCAGCTATGGTGGGAAGTGCCCGGATGGCAACTTTAGGCTGGGAGGCTTGAGAAAGCCTCTTTGAGAAAGCTTGTACTGAATGACAAGTTGGACTCTTCATTTAAACTGGAGTGGGGAAGCATCCAGGTAGAAAGGGCAGATGGTACAGAGGCACCCCCTCCAAAGAGGGCCAGGTGGAAGGGGGCCTGCCAGGCATAAGGTTGAAGGCATCGGCAGGAACCAGTATGAGGACTTGTGGAAGCTTTGTACCTTTTGCAAATTCGGAAAGCGTTTGGGTTTTCTTCTTACATCAATGAGAAGCAACTGGAAGCTTTTAAACAAGGGAATAACTTCATCTGATTGAAGTTTTTGAAAGATCATGCTGACTCCTCTGTAGGAGTGGATTGTAAGGGGCAAGAACGGAGGCGTAGAGACAGATAGGAAGCTATTACAGCAGTCCTGCTGAGGGACAATGATGGGGAGACCAAGGCAATTAGATGGATTTGAGAATATACAGGGGTGGGCAAAGACAGGTTTACAGTTGTGAGTACACAAAACACAGTTAATAAAGCTGTTGTAATAATCATAACTTGCATGTGTTTTTCCATACAAACAACTCTAAATTTACATTTTCCCACCCCTGTATTTTAGAGGTAGAATGAATAGAAACTGATCTCCAAAACATATAGTAATTTTTTATTTTTTTCTATTTATCTCAATAGGAAACTAGCTGATTAAATTCTTTCTTTCAAAATGAGGCCGGTTGCTTAAAAATTGGTACAGCCATTCTAGGAAATATAATTTATCTCAAAGTATATGAATATGAGTTAGCCCTATGTGTCTTATGTTCCTGACATAGTAAGTAAAAGATAAGCCCAGGCATGGCATATCCAGTATGTCCACATGAGAAGAAGGAAATGCGTGAATGGATATCGAAGGGATGGCAACCTTGGTTCCCTTAGGTGGAGTGGGAGAAGGGAAAGAGGTCGCTGTATTTTTCTTTAAGCGTTTCCTATAATGTTTGCCTTGTTAAGTTGAATATGTATTGCTATTACAAGTTTTATAAGCCTATTAACATGAAGACAATGATATTCAAGATCATTGCTTCACTGTCACATCTGATAACCCTCTTTCCATGATTGCTGAGCTCAGTTCATCTACAGTATTTGAGTTTTGGAAAGATTTTATGAACATACCTTGTTGAAGTTGAAGGGCAGATTTTCTTTTACTTCTCCTGTCTTTATAAAATTTGATAGTGCGTTGGAGTAAAATTTAAAAGCTCTAAATGAATGCAAAATAGTGTTCCCCTTTTGAACACATTTTGAAAAGAGAATCATTCTATTGCAGAGATGGATCTGTATAAGGTTTGGTAAGGGTTTGAGCAGATTCTGATTGTCAAACTTGTCACTGTGTGTTTGTTATTTTCTTTTTTACTTTTCTCCATTCATGAAACAAAAGCAGTGGAAGTAGCTTCAAGAAATATACATGGAAATAGGTACACTATATAAATTAAAATAAAACATTAGGGTCAGGGCATAGTAAGTAGGGTATCGATTCAGCTGCTTTAAGACGGACTGGGATAACACGGGCTAAAACAAGACAAAGTTTATTTCTCACTTATATGGAGGCCGAACCTGATAGGAGTCCCATGGGATGGGGCTTGACAGTCTTCTAGGGACCCTTCTATATTTTTGCTCTCTCTCCTAGGATGATGCCCTCTTCCACCATCGTGTAAGTCCTCGATCCCCAGGAGGGATAAGAGGAAGAGGAGAGGAGAGAGTTTCCTTTTGAGGGCATGGCCCAGACGACACTGTACACATGACTCCTGTGGGTCATTTAGTGAAAGAGGCTGGGAAGCCATGAGCCCTGGTCATCATGGCCTCAACTAAAACTCAGGAAATTTTATTACTAAAAGGAAGAAGGAGACGATAAGTACTGGAGGAAAATTAGGACATAAATTTATAGAGAAATCTATATTAGAATAGATAGTATAGATCACCAGGGAAAAGGGTCATAGACAAGCAGGTCCTAGCACTATTTAGTTACTAAAGTGGAATATTATATTTAGACTTCAGCTTCCTGATCTCCAAAATAAAAAAGGAAACATAGCCTATTACATACTTATCAGCATCCCTGTGATATATACAAGTTTCTTAAGAGAAGCAAAGCTTTTCTTGGACTGAGTCCTAAAAAAATCTCTCACACTGGATTTCAAAGAGGCGGCACCAGGAAATGGCAGGGCAGTGCCCGTAAACATGTCCATGCAAACGAAGCAGCGATTTGTTTTATGTGGCAGATATTTTTAATGCACTCTCTAATAAAAGCCGGTGACATAGGTCAAAACTCAAGTTCACAAAAGCCAGTTTGCTGCAGGATGGGGCAGGAAGAATAGGGAAATAGTGACTAAATGTGTACCTGTTATGTAGGCAACAGGGCTTAAATCATTTACTTGAGGATGCCCGCCCTGCCACACTTGCAACCTACTAGGGAAGAAAAGTCAAAATACATGAAATAAATAATAATAATACTGACTCCTTAGCCTCCTAGGAGGTGCGATTAAGAATAGTTAGACATGCTCGCACCCCACACCCTGATCTATATGAGGGTGTTCCCTGGGGTCGTGTGGCACACGACAGTTTGTCACAGTCTGGTCCAGGTGTCAGGCACTGCATGAGATATTTTATAGTTTGCATGTGTTATGTAATCTTACCAACAGAGTGATATGAGGCACATTATTTCATCGATGAAGCATCTGAAGCTCAGAGTGGTCCAGGAACTTGGCCAAAGGCATGCAGCTGGGGACGTCAGTGGAGTTTGAGCCTTGCTCCCTTTATGCTGGAGCTGGCTGTGTCTCGTTTTCGGGCACTGACACTGAGCTACACGGCTTATGTGCTCAACAGTGTCGTGTAGACTCCAAGGGCCATGGCATTCAGAAACGGAGGAGGAATTGTGCATCAAGTAGTCAGGAGACGCGTGCTGCTGGTGGGGAGATGTGTCAGTAGAGAGGAGGGGAGGTGGCACTAAAGGGGGCATCCTCAGTGAAGGCAGAGGTGGAGACAAGGCACTGACCTTCCCGGCGAGGACTGGCACCCTGCCTGGGCTAGGAAGGAGGGTTTGAGCTGGATGCAATGAAAGAAAGAAACTGAAAAACACCTGATTTTCCTGGTGGTATCTGGAGTGGCATATAATCAGATTTGTTTGTAAAAAGTGCCAGTGATGGTGACTTAGACTTGGGTGGAAGCCCTGGGGATGGAGAGAAAAGGATCCGTTCCAGCGTGTGCAGGAGGTAAAATATATTCAACTTTACGATGAGTTGGTTATGGCAGATGAAGGTGTTAGTCCCTGGTTTCTCACAAAAATATGGTTTGCGATAAACTGAGGAGTGTATCTTGTGGGGGGTTAGAAGCACAGGGTTTTCCCCCAAATGTTGGGGTTTCTCAAACACATTACTCTGGCGAGTGAAAAGAATAAATAAAAACACATCATTTTTACATTTTCTCAGGAGTCATTGGGATGATTTTAAAGCAGAGATGGAGTGGCTAATGGGCACCGATGTTAGATGACAAAACTGATAACATTGGATTATGGAAAGCTCTTGTATGTACATTATTACCGGAGCTTTGAAATAACCATGTGCACTGAATACGCTTATCACCCCGCTTCTTTCTCAGGGAGATTGAGAATTTTCTTAATGTCACGTAGCTGGCAAGTGGGAGACGAGGTATCAGTCCTGTGGAATGCTCTGCCTTATTTTTGCTTTTAATTTAGAAATAAAAAGAAACTTGTTGTCAAGTAGGGCTTTAAAAAAATGCAGCTATTTTTTTTCAGCATCCCTTCTTGACCACAACATATTTAGAATAATTGGCTATCTTTCTCACTAGGTAGAGAACCCAGATTAGCAAGAAAATATTTCAAGAATCTTTTCTGTTTGAACAAAGTTTAGATACCTAAGATAATAGCCTTAATAGATCATGTAAGGTTAGTTCCATTTGCATGTCAACGAAAACAGTAGCATTTGTGAATATATATGTTTAACTTCCACATATTTACTTTTATAGTATTATTAGCAACGTACTTTTCTTCCAGATGAAAGCTTCAAACACCACTCTTTCTGTAAAATAAAATGTATCCATAGAAACCGAATTCTTAAAGAGGCTACCTTGCCTTTATTTTGACTATAAAATTTTTAGATTTTAAAAATAGAAAGTTGATTTCTATAGTCTCTGGATCTCAGCCGCTGCCATCATAATTGGTTTTCTGGCCAGTTGTACAGGCCATAGATGCTTTTCAGCCCACCCATGCATGAGAGAAGTTTGGACCTTACTGGAGACCTGGGTGAGTCCTCCACAGGCATTTAATCTCTGGAAGATGGTGGGTGAGCCAGGTGTCAAACCGACCCCTATTCTGCTACCTTGTGTCAGTGTGAAGATTGAGACCCTGTGTTGGTGTCTTAGGACACTGATTTCTCTATCAGACTCTTGGCTGTTAGAAGTCTGTGCATTTGAGTCCTAGGAAGTGATATTGGTCACTTAAGTTAATTTCTTTTAGTACCTACCTTGCGAACAGAGTTTCAAAGGAATTATGTACATTTGCTGCCTGTATTGCTTTGCTTTATTAAAAATGTGTGGATTTAAAAATAACAATTTAAATTCTAACAACTTATAATTTATTTCACTTGTTCCAGTTGATGTGATTTAATTTTCTTTTGATTTTGCTATGGATGATGGACGTGAAATGTTTGAGTTACCACTGTGCACTCAACTGCTGTTTATTTCTTCTTTAATTTTCAGTTTTCTCGTGTACTAAAGAATAGAGCCTGGCCCACCTTTAAACAAGCCAAATCTAAGCTATCTCCACTGCACAGCAGTGATTTCTGCCCTACCAACTGCCATGTCAATGTGATGGAAGTGTCTTATCCCAAAACGTCGACCTCCCTGGGGAGTGCATTTGGTGTTCAGTTGGATAGTAGGAAGCATAATTCTCACGATAAAGAAAACAAATCTGAACAAGGTATGTTAGTTTGAAACTTGATCAAATCATGAAAAGTAATTTAAGCAATCATAATTATTCCCACATCCCTGACATTGGGCAGATTCTTGGTGTGTAAGCAAGTCTGAACTTTTGCAGAGAAAGATTCCTCATATAATCATTTGGATAATTATTTGTAACTATTTATAGAATGAAAATGGAGTATGCAGTTTTCTTATTTTATTATTTTTCCTTTAAGAAGAACTGTTCTTGCCTTTCTTACGCATTTTAGGCACAGCTCATCTTGCTGTGAAAACCATTAATTTGCAATGGCCCCTACAACTATGAGAAAATCAGATGCACAAAGTAATTCTCACCATCACAGCAGGATGTGGGATCAAATTCTACTCCTCCCCTTGAATCGCAATTCCCCATAAGCTTTAATTCCTGAATTAAATTCAGCATTGGGTTGGCATTTGATTTTATGTAAGCTTGGGCGTCTAAAATGAATTGCACTGGATTATTACTGTTAGTTAAAGGTAGTAACAATTACTATGGGATGATTTCACCTCAGGGAAACTGAGCCCTATGGTGTACATTCAGCACACAATCACAACCATGGCGGCGCCTTCAGGCCTGTCTCTGGCCCAGCAGGACGGGCATGGACTCCGGTATTTGTTAAAAGAAGAAGACTTAGAGACCCAAGACATCTACCAGAAGCTGCTGGGCAAACTCCAGACTGCACTGAAAGAGGTGGAGATGTGTGTTTGTCAAATAGATGAGTAAGTATTTTATTTACTGTATTTTTAATGTGTCTAATAAAACAGCTGTAGAAAATGAAACTTCTGAACATCCATCATTCCCTCTTTAGTTTTTGGAAATGAAGAGATTTTTGGTGACTGTATAAACCCTCTTCTTTCTAACAAGTTAAAAATGATAAAATATGGCAAATATCTATAGATGTATCTTTCACAGAAGCTTTAATATCAGGAAAGAGAATGACAAAATTTTATTGTATGGAAAACATTGTTTCAGTGTGAAAATATTAAATTGAAAAATATGATTGAAAGAGTATTAACTGTGAGAGGGATTTCCTTGTAGCTTTTACAGAGCAGAGCACAATATTTGGTGTATATGCATGCGATAGATGTTTAGGAAAAATGTAAAATATAACAAATCCTTAACACACTTCTTAAACGAGTAAATCCAAAACTGTGTATCCTTTGGACCAATGACCAATACCTTTTTTCACTCCTGCTTGAATTAATGATCTAGTAAGCAAAACCCAAATAGCTGTGCCAATAATTTGAAAGGTTTTATCAAGTAACACAGAGGAAGTTAATTACAACTTTTCCAAAGAGATCAACTCTGGATCTTACTGAGGGAGTGTGACAGTTGGAGGAAGGCCTGAGCGCCGCAGGACCATTTGCCCCAGCACGACGTGTGATTATGTTTCACATCTAGTCAGGGCAGCTCTGTGTGGACGGAACGCCATGGCATTCGGGGTAGCACAGCGTCTCGTATACAGCAGGGTGGATAATAATAACACATCACAAGTTTGTGGTGAGAGTTATACAAGGTAATACAAAAAGCAGTCAGTATAGTGAGTAGCATCATATTCAAGGGGTTGAAATTGTTGGGCATTTCCAAAGTTGGTAGAACCTGAAAATGGTATAAACACTGCTAATCCTCCTTTTATTGTACCTCTTTTTGAAGTTACACATTTACACTGCAATCAGGTGTGTGTTGCGTAGTCCACACACACAAACGTCTTCCCATACGTCCATAGATAATTTTGTTTTGACAAAATATTTAGAGCTTATTCTAAGCCTTTGTTGCAATTAGACATTATACTAATGAAGTCTTAACTGACATGGTCTCTGATTTTACACATCTTAGAAATTTAGAAATCACCATATTGGATGCATCGTTTCTATAAGATTATCTTTAAGTATTTACTGTTTACTATGCTATTTTTCCTGATGCTTTTCTGAGTTAATTTAGAATTACAATTCTGTTTTCCTATATCTAATACACTAGTTTTTAAAAAATGACTTACAATATTTGTATATTATATTGTGACTGTCCTATTTACAGATGAAGTCAACTGTTTGAGGTTTCTGAGACCAGGAAGCTATTTTTAAACAATTGCAGACTCTTTTGAATTGTCTTAAAATGGCTATGTGGCCTTGTGACAGAGAAGTTTATATTTTAGGGCGTTATATTTTGCTTTACTTAATAAATCAGATTTTATTATATGATATGTTCTATATTAGAAATCAGTTTTTTCCCTCTGAAATATTTAAGAAATGCATACTGGGAGATTTGTAGGCAATCAGTCCATAAATAGAGGTATTGAATCATGTATCTTAGATCTCAAAGGGATTTAGGAGAACACCTGGACCAATCCCATACTTCCAATCAGGCCAAGAGTTATTATTCCTACTTCTCAGATGAGTCCTTTGTCAGTGGCAGGATTATTGATGTGCCTGACAAGGCCTCAAATGTATTGACTACCCAGCACTTCCTGGCAATTGTCCAGGCTTCACCTGCCTGTGTTAATTTTTTGACTTTTTAGGTTCTAATATAGATTTACTTTTCAAGAAAATGGTTAGAGCGAAGGGGCTCCCTTTACTTGGTTTAAAATGTTTTATATTTAAAGCACTAGTTGCAGAAAGGAGTGATTTTCCTTATCCAAAACTACTTAAAATGATTGCTTATTTTTACTTAAAATTTCCCCACTCTGTTCTTCTAAAAGCCATTACCTAACTGGGCATATTTATTAGGAAAGTGACATGAAATGAGCACATGATTTGAGAAACTTCCTTGGTCTTCTCTGTGTGCACCATATAATTTAATTCTAAATATAAATATGTTCTACATAATTCAATGTGTGCTATAATCACTTTAAGACAGTACAGTTGTCCAAGAGCTCAGATTCCCCATTGCCCTTAAAATTCAGAGATGCTGCAGTGCAGTCGAGCTTGCCAAATTATTTGAAAAGCTAGTTACCGAACAATTTTCTTACCATGTAGTAATTATTTGTGATCACACATAGAAGTCTCTGCAGAGTGGAGAAGCAGATCTCAGATGCTTTGCCAAGTTTTAGGAGAAAATTTGCTAGCCTTTCTAAAAGTCATTCATTCCTGCGAAAGGGGCTGGTAGTGAACTTGTCTTACTCTGAAGCCTGGTTACCCTGTCACTTGGGAACACTTCTCCTAGAAATAAAATTTTATTTAACTTGTAGATATTCCACTAATTCCTCCTACTTCATTTAGGTCCAAGGATGGAACTAGAGGTGAATTTACTGTCTAGTATCATGAAATAAGGTGATGTCATGGATTTAATCAAGACTTTGTGATTCCTGTTTCATTGTGGAACGCTAAATACTTTTGCCTTTTAATGGGCTATTTTCTGATTAATGACACTTAGCTACTAGATGGAAGCAAAGGAGAAAATTATTTGTGGATAGTGTAGGATAGTCTAAAAGCTTTAATGGGATTTCAAAATACAGGGAGGAGATGAATAAAGAGCCTTGGGGGCTACTGAAGAAAGGAAATTTGAGGGCAGACTTCATTTTGCAGATGTCAGATGTCCCAGGATTGAGCCATGAACAAACTGCATTTTAGGATATTCAATGAGCTGGGGATTCCCGGTAGGAATATGAGGGCTGGTGGTGGAATTATCTCTGAGGTCTCCTGAGCACTGTTCTGGTAAATGTATAAAAGAGGGCTCAGTGTCCCTATAGGCACCTACTTAATCGTTCTCACAGTCCCTCTGTCATGTGGCCTGTGAACCACTGGGATGTATCACAGACACATCAAACTTAAATTTGTTTCCAAAACTGAATTCTGGATTTTCTCATACTCAAATCCATTTCAGCCCCTCCATCATCAAGGTCTCCCCGTTCTCAGTAAAGTATTTCCCATCCCTTCAGCTCATGAGGCCGGGCCCGGGGTCTCACCTTTGATTGGCCCCTTTCCTTCCCCTTCTCCTTCCCCTCCAGTATTTCATCCAGTCTGCCAGTCAGACCTCAGGATGTGCCCACCCTATCACCTTAGACTGGGTCCCCAGCCTCCAGCTTCCAGCTGTGCCTCTCCGATACATTCTGCATTCACCCGTGCCAAAGGGGTCCGTAAAGGTAAACCATGCTAGTTTCCTGCTTGAAACCATTTGATGGCATTGCAATGCAATTAAAAATAGTATCAAGTGGCTCGTTGTGGCCTGCACAGCTCTACAGGATCTGCTCCTGTTCCCTCTCCAACTAAGCTCATCTCACTGAGTTCCAAGACACTAGCCTCTTTGGCAAACTACCTGGTCTGCCCTGCTCCTGAGGCCTGCCTGGCTGGCCTTGCACACACTTAAATGTCAGGCTAATGGCCAATGTATAGAGAGACTCTGCCTCGTTCCCCAGTGTAGAGTAGATACTCCTGTGTTCCGGTCTCTCACGTTATATTTTCTTAGATCTACTTTTTATACAACTCTTTTTACCCCTTCATTGTTATGTTAACTCTAAAGCCCCACAACAAGGCTTCTTTCTTGCTTACTCTCCATGCCCATGGGTCACAGGATCTCTGCTTCACACTGACCTCCCTCAGAGAGTCTGGCTGACAGCCCTCATCAGCTGGGACTTCTGATTGTCACAGCAGGGAGAGGGAATGAGGCTGACCCTGCTGGCAGTAACGATTTCCATCCAGAAGGGACCCATGTCACCTCTACTCACATTGAAAGCAAGTCACATGGTCATTTAAATCATGGGGTAAGGGAAGCCACCCAGTCATGTGCCCAGGAGAGCTGGGATGTGGTGGTTCCTCTCTCCAGAGTGTGTCAGTGATATCCAGGGAGGGGGTGTTCTGCTGAATTTGGAAAGTACATGTATACAGCTGTGTGTCTCACCCCATCTCTAAAATGAGGATAATAATAATAATAATATCAACTTCATAAGGTGGTTTTAGGGATTGAATGAATTAGTATCTGTTAAGTACTTAGCATAGTGACTGCAGGAAGAGCTCACCAAATGTTAGCTATGACGAAGATGATGGTGATGATATTTAAATATCAGTGTAAAGAAAAACGCACAGGTCAGTGCATATCCAGTATACAAAACTATTAATCTAGGGCATCAGGAAAAGACTGACCTGGACTGGCAGGCTGCTCAGGATTTTAATTGGGAATTCATAGACCTACTGTAGGTAGCTTAATATTATATATGAGCAAAAGTAAAGGAAAATGTTTCTGCACACACGCATGTTAAGTGTTATGCCTTAGTTGCTTTTTAAAATCTAGAAATTTTATGCAAAAACATGGTGTCCAAAACTGTTTTTCTAACATTTGTTAGCATAACACTTGTTCCCACAAGGTCAATGTCAGCATAATTGCAGCTGTTTCAAATGAAAAGCAAATATGTGAATACAGTCCATATAACTTTGAAAGAAATGTTTATGCTTAGCCCCATGGCTTCTAATTTAAAAGAAACAGAGGGCAGAGGACTCCTTGCAGAGTGAGAACTCCTGCAAACTCTTTGGTATTCAGAGCTCATCTGTCTGTGCAGGTTGGAGCTTGGGTAACTGGGGTTAATCTAATGTTTCAATTTTGAGGGTGGAGGAAGTGAATACATATCCAGCCTGTCTTACAAGACATAAAAGTATCGTTCCAAATAGGAGAACTGTTTTTACAATGATATGCAGCCTCACAGGGCCTTGAGCCATGTACCACAGCTTCCTGATTGTCACTGGTGTCTAAAAACCACCAACTGGCAATGTTATTCCAGTGTCACCTCACAGTGAGACCTCACCTGACTACACGATTTGAAATTCTAGCTTTGGCTTCCTTCCTGTCTTTGTTTTTCTCCCTAACATTTGTCACTATCTGATATACTAGACAGTTTACTTGTTTACTGTTTATTTCCTCCCAGGAGATTTTAAGCTCCAAGAGGTCAGGGAATTTTGCTTGTTTGTAAACTTTGAAATCCACACTGAGCACAGTGCATAGTACAATACATGTGTCTAATTAATTAGTAAAAATCACTTAACAAATCTTTACTCAATGCACTGGGTTTGATGTTATGGGAGATACGTTTCCTTTATCAGAGGTATAAGACATCTTCATGATCTTGAAATAAAACAAACGTGACATTGCTGTGGACAAATGAGTGTCAGTAAGTGTGCATGTGCTATCAGAATGTCACTGCTATCTGGTAAATGAGAAGATACTGGTTGGCTAGAGAAGCCAAATATGGACCCCTTTTTTCAGATGTGGTTTCATTCAAGTTTATAGCATGCTGTTTGGTAGTGAAGACCAATTCCATTTTTATGTAATTTTGAGTTAGACAGTTCTAACAGAAACCTTTTACAGCCAAGCTGTACATTCAAGGCTAGCGTGGTGGAATCAGTGCTTGTCAAGGTCCAAAATCAAATTTTATACCAATTCAGCATCTGAAGGTGGCCTTTTTAGCCTTAAGCCAAGTTGGAAGAGCCCTTCATTGGGGCAGATTTGTGACATTTCATCCTGACCGATTGCAGATGATGTGGGAGGGAGCCCCTACTTGCTTCCTAGCCTCACCTCGTGTGTGACTTTGTTTCATCTTATGATCACAAGGGCCAGGACTCCTGTTAGTCTGAGCAGTGAGAAAGGACTGACAAATGGAGAGAGCTGGGAGACGGCTGAGGCAGGCCTAGGTGGGTGGGTGGCTTTTTAATAGCTGAGGGTAAGCACATTTAGTGTTTGCTTTAATATTTGGCCAGCCCAAGTATTTTCATATGGTGGTGCTAGTGGCTGATGCCCAGGAGTGAGGTGAGGCCCAGTATGTACCAGGAATGTGTCGTTCTCATTTCATTCTCACAGTGGCCCTGTGGGTTAGTCATTCTTACTATTCCCGTGGCATGGATGGCAAAGAGGCCGTCATAGTTTTGCTCCAGTAGCAAAGGTAATAAGTGGAGAAACAGGATTTGAACACAGCTTTCTAGTCTAAACTGTGCTCTTCCTATTACTTACTGTGAGGAAAAAAGTAAACTTCGTATGACAGGCTTCTGATGTGGTAGGATACTTGCTTCTTGCGAAGCACAGGTGCACTCTCGGCATATCTGCAAGCCTATCATAGCCGCCAGTAGGCAAAGAGCCAGTTTGAAAACGTGCGCTTCCTCTTTTTCTGTATCACAATGCAGCCTTCTGTCTTCGATAATGTATTCTCCTAAGTTAGAACGGAAGACGTCCGAGTGCATAGTCCCAACAGACAGTGACAACGAGAAGGCGGAAAGAAACAGCAAACGGGTCTGTTTCAATGTGGCAGGAGATGAGCAGGAAGATTCGGGCCATGACACCATCAGCAACAGAGACTCTTACAGGTAATGCGTCAGCTCCTTGAACTCATGTCATCAGCGAGGTCAAGCGGGATTCTGTGTTTTCAAGACAGAGGTCTTGAAAAAAAGTTTAATTATTGTTTTTGTTTATTACTCACAAAAGAACTGCTAGCTATGACCACACCCAGACAACATAACCTTTCACACTCTTCCCCTTTATAATTTGAGTAATTTGGAAAATATTTTCTTTTCCAGCTCTGTAGACCTAATGTGGGAAACTTGTTCTTTTTTGGATTGTGTAACATGTATGGCAAATAATCACATTGTGCCTATATTAATATTTTTCTTCAGATATCTGTTTTTGATTATTGGACAGTTGGCTAGTGAATAGGAGTTCTTTTTGTCTTGTTTCTCCCCTTTCTTTTTATATTTTATGTTCCAAGCTAATGGGACTAATCTCACTTGCTCACCCCCATGACCAGCTTTTTGTATTTTTTCTCCTCTTGTGTGCNCTTTTTATATTTTATGTTCCAAGCTAATGCGACTAATCTCGCTTGCTCACCCCCATGACCAGCTTTTTGTATTTTTTCTCCTCTTGTGTGCCTTCTGTATAATTTTGGTAGGGCTGCTGGAACAAAGTACCAAGAACTGGGTGGCTTAAGCAACAGAAATTTGTTTATTTACTGTACTCAGCTCTGGCACTATAATTCCAAAATCAAGGTGTCAGCAGGGTGGGCTCCTTCTGAGGGCTGTGGGGCAGGGTCTGTCCCAGGCCTCTCTCCTTGGCTTGTAGACGGACGTCCTCTCCTCTGTCTCTTCACATCTTTTTCCCTCCAGTTGTGTCTCTCTGTCCAAATTTTCTTTTCTTATAAGGACACCAGTTGTATTGGAGTAGAGCCCACCGTGATGACCTCATTTTAACTTGCTTACCGCTGTAAAGACCTGCACTCCAGATAAGGTCACCCTGGGTCTCTGAGGGTTAGACTTCAATGTACGGATTTGGAGAGGACCCAGTTCAACCCATCACACCACACAGCATCCCAACTCTGTCATCTTCCTGCCAGGCTCTCAAACGTGGCTCCTCCAATGGACTTCCCCAACTGAGAGTGCTTTTTCTCCTTTGTGTCCTTGCACCAACTGAAACCTCACCAAGGACTGTTGCAACCTGCCGTCTATGCTATGTGCTCAGCTTCAGCATCTCTCGCTTTCTTTACATTAATTAAAGCAACAACTCCCTTATTCACTCTTTATTATACAGTGTTTTACAATGAAAAGATATTAACTAATTATTGTNCCTTATTCACTCTTTATTATAGTGTTTTACAATGAAAAGATATTAACTAATTATTGTTCAATCAAAGTTANTCTTATTCACTCTTTATTATACAGTGTTTTACAATGAAAAGATATTAACTAATTATTGTTCAATCAAAGTTACTCCCACCAGAGATGTTTAGTATATACTAATGGCTATTAAAACATATTTTTACCAGACATGTGGAAGAACAGGATGATCTCACTTAATTCCCACCACAATTCTATGTGGCTGGTTCTGATATTAGCTCCATTTTACAGATAGGGAAGCTGAGGCCCACAGAATTTCTCTATTTTACCTATGAGACCAGGTGGTCCAGCCCTCAGTGCTTCTCTCTTAACCACTATCCTATCCCAGTTTCTGTGTGAAAGGGATTTTAGCAAATACATAAGAGTTAACTATTCCTAGAGATTTAATAATATATCACATGGATGGACCACTTTTACCATTTCATTTACTTTTAGCTTCTAAGGATACTAATATACTCTTCAATAGGAACCAGTGGTTTCCTCTCCAGTGGGAAATTACTTGTCTAAAAATACTTTCTCACCTCAAATTCTAGTTATCAAATAATTAAAATTACCCTCACAGTCTCCCACTAGGTGAAAATAGAAATTTTAAATGTAAATTTAAAGTTAAATAAGTCATTTTCATTTGTTGTGAGAGGAAAAAATATTTAATCTCCTGCACTATTTTCAGATATGTGTAGTATATTCATATTCACGCACAACCATTTTAAACCTTCTTTCCTTTAACATTCCTGTGCTGAGCTCTGAGGTGGAGTGTCATTGGTAAGTTATAATTTAAGCTACCAGGAAGGGTTCAAAGGCAGAGAACTGAAACAGGACTTAATTTCTCTCTGTTAACAAATTAACTACAGGTATATACCATCAAAGAGATTATGAAGAATTTTAAGTTTGGTTTGACTCCTAGTTTTATATCTATACATTTAAAAAAATTTTATAACTGTGCATTTAAGAGAATTCATTTAAGATTACATTATATGACAAGAAAATTTGAAATATTGAATTTAAGATACACTTTTTAAAAAAAGTTAGATAAACTGTTAGACAAGTTTATCTTTCTCTTCATTTTCTATAAAACATACTAATACATAAAACTGTGGCATAAAAGTTTCTCTCATAAGAAATCACAGGACAAGCGTAGCAAATGCAATATTAAAGTCCATGTAACTCCCTTTCAGCGACTGCAACAGCAACAGGAATTCCATCGCCTCCTTCACGAGCATTTGCAGCAGCCAGTGCAGCTCATATTTTCACAGTGATGAAATGGACTCAGGTGCGTTTGGTGAGGGCATTGCTGCTTTTCGATGCTAGTCTCATTGGTCGTACTTTTCAGGGATTCACTTGCTAGATCCTTATGCATCTTACCTTTTATCTGCCATCCTTGGTGACTGCACATGTTGCATTTCAGTCTTATATGCTCGATAAAGTCGATTTCCAGTCCCATCGTAAACAGTGAATTAAAAAGAAATGAAGGCAACGAGCTAATTTTTTAATTACCTTAATATATGTTTTGTGATCTTTCTATGGTACCATGAAGAATGATAGGTCCACAGGAGGCAAGTTTTACTAAAACATTAGGCATTGTTGATTGGATGTGCACGTAGGAAGGGCTTCGAAACCAAAAGCTTTAGGACAGCAGACACACCTGAAGTGGTCTTGACCTAGGTGACGGGAGTAATGAGAAAAACACTGGATGATATAAGTGCCTCGTAAATATCTTGGTTTGTGTGTGTTACAAACAAGACTGTAGCCAATTAGGATAAATCTTAATTTTAAAACCTGCAGTTTATTTCAGCTATTTAACCTTCAGAAAAATGTACCATTTGAAAGAATTGGCATAGTGCAGTGTTCTTTCTGTGTGGCCCACTTTCACCCCACTTTCCAAGGATCAATAATCTGATGTCATCATCGTTATTAAATCTTTTGGAATTCATTTCCTGAACATGAGAAGTAGTGTATAGGAATAAGAGCTTATGTTTAAATATTTTAATTTTATTTATATTAAAATACTTTGGAATGTTAAAAATAAGATTAATGATTTTTTTTATATCTAGGTGATGAACTTCCACTAAGTGTTCGCATTTCTCATGAAAAACAGGATAAGATACATAGTTGCCTTGAGCATCTTTTCAGCCAGGTATGATTGGAACACTTGGGGGTATTTTTTTCTGTAGACTAAACTGTAGGAATCCCATTTTCAGATGTAGTGAAAAGAGTTCAGAATTAGAATAGAAAGGCCTTAGTCTGTTCCTCCACCCACTTTAACTCAATTTCCACAATTTAAAATGGGAACAAATATTCCTTCAGCCAGCTAACTCAAAGGATTATTATAATGTCAAGTATTTTACAGTCTTGGGAAAATTATAAAGAGTTATACACACAGGAGTTATTATTATTGTTTAATGTTTTTATTGATTTTTTTTTAGAAAGAGAGGAAGTGAGAGGGAGAGAGAGACAGAAACATCGATGAGAGAGAAACATTGATCAGCTGCCTCCTGCACTCCCCCTCCTGGGGATCGAGTCCACAACCCGGGCATGTGTCCTGACCGGGAATCAAACCAGTGACCTCTTGGTGCATGAGACGATTCTCAAACAACTGAGCCACACCAGCCAGGACAGGAGTTATTTTTTAATTGTATGTTTCTTTTTTTAAAAAATCTATCTTTATTGATTTCAGAGAGAGGAAGGGGGAGGGAGAGAGAGAGATAGAAGCATCAGTGATGAGAGAGCCATTGATTGGCTGCTGGCTGCACGCCCGGGGTGAGCCCGCAACCCGGGCATGTGCCCTGACTGAGAATCAAACCACGATCTCCTGGATCCTAGGTCGATGCTCAGCCACTGAGCCACGCCCCACAGGCAATTGTTTATTTCTTTATGGGTTTTTAGAATACCTTATTTCTTGTTCAATTTTATTCCTGATTTCAAAAAGCACAAGATTGTCTCAGGACCCATATTGGTATTTTATAGTCTTAAAAATTTTATATCCATAACTAAAATTTATGGTGTAGAAGCTTTTACTACTTTGAAGAGGATTTTGATAACTTTTTTTTTAAATAACTCTAGAACCTTTACTTTTGTGAAGTGAATTTATATTTTGTATTACTATATGGTAGGATAGTAAGAAATGTCATTGCAAATGTTATCAGGTGAGTTTATTTCAACATTTTATTTAAAGGTAGATTTCACAAGAATCATGGGGTTTCAAAGAATGATAATTAATTTAAGAAAAAAATATGTTGCAAGATTTACTCTTGGAAATATATATGATGTGTTGTGAGAATACGAAACTCTCTGAATCTCTACTATTGTCATAGGTGGATTCAATTACCAATCTCCTAAAAGGGCAAGCTGTGGTCAGAGCCTTTGAGCAAACCAAGTACTTCACCCCAGGTCGAGGATTACAGGGTAAGGTTTAAAAAAGAACTGTTAGAAGCAATGGGGAAACAAAGTGGTAGACTATAGTTATGAAGAAAAGCATAGTACAAAAAGAAAAGTTCCGGTTGCTCATGTTTCGTAATTCACTTAATACTGCTTCTATTTTTATAATTTTTGAATTTAAGTTAAAAAATTTCAGTATAAGATCTTCTAGGTTTCTTTGAAAGTTAAAATGTCTAATGCCTATCAGGGCCAGACTGAACAGAAATGAGTTAATTGAAGAGATGTAAGCGTTGAGTTCCTTGGGCTGAAACCAAGCCGAATGCCTACTTGCTCTTTTCCCGTCGTGGGGAAGGGGGTTTGGGGATGTGGGTGGGCAAACAGAACGGGATCTAGACTTTCCACTTTCCAACATCTAGTTTAGGATGTTTAAAGTACAGTTTTTCATCTAAATTTGCTCCTTTGTTTAAACAATTGTAAGAAAATAATATTATGGTTTGGCTTTCTGTATTTAACACATTTTCTCCTGTGATATAGCTAAAGAAATTACTACCATGATTATAATTTAGGACAACAGCAAGGCAAACAAGAAAATCCTGAAGCTTACAGTCTTGGTAACCGTTTGGTAAATGGTTGAGAATTAAGAGAGATTTTTTGTGTCTATTAGAATTTCAGCAGGAAATGGAACCAAAGCTGAGTTGTCCAAAAAGGTTAAGACTCCACATCAAGCAAGATCCTTGGAATCTTCCCAGCAGTGTCCGGAGTCTTGCTCAGAACATCAGAAAGTTTGTTGAAGGTCAGGATGAAAAGCAAAGACTATCTCATGACATTAGCAATAATTATTTAAAAACCCATTAAAACCAAAAGTTCAGTAATGCTCTGATTACTATTTCAGTATTTCATGTTAAGAGGGAAATAAAAGGACTGTAAAGCATGATGTAAGAAGAGAGAAAGAAGGAAGAAGAGATTGCAGAACCTTATGTTCCAAGGATCTAAATGATCTGTATCATGGAGAATATTCTTAGTGAAGAAAATAAGGGCTTATACTTATGAAGACAAATGGAACATGGAGAGAGTTTCCATGTTTTATAATATGAAACAACATCAGAAAAATTTCTAAAGAATTCACAAAAGAGATGAAGCTAAATTTTATGGAAAGTCTAAAAAATCAAGTGTGCATCTGCATGAGAATCAAAATAATGACATTTGACATGTTTCATTTTTTAGAATTGTTTGTTTCAGTTGATGGTGTTATTATCTACCATGACCATGTTTCCTCAGTACCCTATAATTGGTACAACCTATAATTGGAGATAAAACTTCAAGACAACTCCAATAAGTGTGATGGCATGTTTAGAGTCAGAGTTATTAAGTAGAAAATTCTGAGAGTTTCCAACATGGTTATGGTGAAAAAGATGAAATGAGAAATTTGTTTAATTTTTTATATGTCTAGTTCAGTGATTTTATTCTCGATATTTGGCCAGCGGTTGGTGGTATCTGGAGATACATTTTGGTTGTCATAATTATGGATATACTACTGGCATCTAGTGGGTAGAGCCCAGGGATGCTACTGAACATTTTGCAATGTACAGGACAGTTTCTCACAATAAAGAATTATTTGGCCCAAAATGTTAATAGTGCTAAGGTCAAGGAACCTGTACAATAAGTATTATGCCTGTGTTTAAATTTTTATTCCACAGTCATTTGTATGTCAGCTGGATGTGGTAAATAGTATCCAGCAAAAGTACAGCATTACCCCAGTCATTGCCATCACTTTAGAGTAAATTAGAGAGAGTCATATATGGGGGATAGAGAGAGCCCACTCAACAGATTACCTTAGTGGTGCTTGACCAGAAAATTCCAGACTGTTGATAATGGTTATATTTCCAGGAAGGTTGAAACAGCAATTAAGTCACGTATTAAATATAGGTTTGATGTCACGAGTTTTGGTAGCACAAGTGACGCCATTTGAGTTTTCTCTTTTACAGTACTTTCCTGATAAAAGATAGCTCTTAAACTCGACAGAGTCTGAGCCTGCCACTTAATCCCTTTGCGCCTCAGTTTCTTCATTTTGGGGGCCTCTTTTCATAAATGACGGAAATGGTTTAAATGTTCTATGATTACTGAATCTTCTTCCTAGAAATATACTCAATATACCAGCTTAGGCATTGTTCAGAGATCAGTAGAAAAGTTTGTACAGATATGAAAAACTCCAAATAAATCACAGCAATTCTATTGTGTGATAAAATCTTTTGTTCTCGACAGCTGGATTTCTTGGCTTTATTTTTATTTTATAGCTAAACATAATGGTTACTTGTAACATTTTATACTATCACACTTAAAACTCCCCAAAATAATAAATAGCAAAAATGATAATTATATTTTTTAAAGGCTTTCAGGCTTAAGGAATTTAGGCATGTACTTTACAAAGTAAAAGGTCTATTTTCACTGAATAGATGCCAGTATTGTAACACTCCTAAAATTTATAATTCATGGGTCTAAATGAAGTTGTTCTCATCATCCCTGAGTTTTTTACCTTATATTGATTTTAGAGTAAATGAAATATCGATTACGAACAGAGAAATCCTTAAACATTTTTTTGTTGCCCTGACTATTGTGAACCTATCTAGAATAGGATGCAGCCTAACTTTTATTTCCCATAATCTTGGGCATGTAAAAAACTCTGTGGGTTTTTATATTTATGTATTGCAAGTAAACTATTTGCCAATTGGAAGTAAATGGACACTTAACTCATTGAACACATAGCAATGAATATGAAGTTCATACATGTCATTTATGAAACATTTGTGATTGAGCCTGTTTGGAGATTGGGTGGGGAAATGAGTATTTGGAAACATTTAGTATTTTTCTGTTCTTTAGGGCATCATCTTGACTTATAGATAGAAAAGAGAGACCATATATATATGCATGTGTGTATATGTATATGTATATGTATATGTATATGTGTATATATATATTTTACATAATCTATAAATATAACCTATATAATTATATATAAACTAGACTTCTAATATATATTGTGTAATATAATATATATAATTATATATAGGGTGTACCCAAATATATATATACCCACTTTGAATAATTATAAAGGCAGTGTTGATTAAAATACATTACATTTTCAAATTGAACTATCAGCTATTAAAGTGTGTATACATTTTTTTGGGACACCCTGTATTGTATATATGATCTTTAAAAATTTAAATAACTAAGAAAAATACTGTTTCATAGTTTATTGATCAAGACTATGACAACTGTAGGAGTTTAGAGAATTCCATGTAAGTTCTAGCAGCTAACGAGGACCTATGGAGGCAGCAGGATTTGAATGATGTTTCATAGGCTCACATAATTCAGATCTAGGAGGCATTTCAGGGTCTTGAGGAATGGGTACAATTTAATTAGGCAGGTAGGAAAGAATAACATTTCAAGTGAATGGGATTTTTATTGTTTGATGTAATGAGATTATGCTAATTTTTACTATAGTACAGTTAAAGTGTGGCAGGAAAAGACTGAACAACTAACTGATATGTTTTGTTGTTTTTTTCTCTGCAGAGGTAAAGTGTAGGATACTTCTGGCACTTCTTGAATATTCAGGTAATATTTTTCATTATTTTTATTATTGAAAATTATTGTGGACCATGACCTTAGAAGTTTTCTGATATCAAGGCAATGCCTTCAGCAAAATAGATGGAAATGTGATCCCTACCTTCTCTAAAGTCTTGCAAAGATAGAAAAAAACTTAGTTTTAATAAAAACACAAAATGTATACTTATCTTCGATTATAAGTAGAAACATTAAAAAACAAAGTAACATTTATATAGAATATCATTTAGAGCCCTGGCCAGGTCACTCAGAGTGTCATCCTGGTATGCCAAGGTTGTGGGTTCTATCTCTGGTCAAGGCACATACAAGAAGCAACCAGTGCATGCATAAATGGGTGGAACAACAAGCCAGTGTTTCTCTCCCTTTCCCTCTCTCTCTCAAATCAATTTTTAAAAGAAGAATATATAGTAAAAAGAGAAGAGAAGCGGGTTTGGTACAGTTAGTTGTGCAAATGGGATATATTGTGAAACTGTGTGTCTAACTTTTGTATATGAACAAAGATGTAGGTGGGCTCAGATTCAAGGGGTGGGGAAATGGACTGTGCTTTTGATGGGAGAAGTCTCAATCTCAAAATCATACCACTCGGGCATGAATATAGACAGGAGGATTTTATCACCACTTCTACAACCCACCACGATTGGAAAATTTAAATCATAAATAAATGAACAGAGAAGCCAAGTTAAGAAGTTCTGTCTGTTGGTTGTTCTTTGCCTTAAGCATAAATTTCTTACATTTTTTTAAGTTTCTTACATGTGGTTGTACTAATAACCACACAGTTGATGGACCTCATTTTTATGTATTTCATCAGGTCCTCACAATCATTCTGTGAGAATATAATTACCTTTCCACCATTTTAAAAGTGAAGAAATTAATCATGAAGATCAATAATAATTAAAAATTTAAAATCAGGCAGATTATTAATAATAACTAGTAAGTGGTGTTTATTCAACATGTTTTTGAGCATCTGGATGATGCTTTATCGAGTTACATGAATGAGTAAATAGTAGGTGGCAGATTTGAAATTCAAACTTATGCCAGTTTCAGAAGTGGTCCTGGAATGTGTTACTTTATTCATTAATATTCAAGTGGCTGTTCTTACAGATCCTTATTTTGATTTCAATTTTATTTTCTTATCCTTATCATGATCCTTCTGTTTCCTACTTTATTCCCTCAGTCTTTGTTCCCTCTTATATATTGCATGGCACCAAAACAGTAGCCAAATTACTCCATATGGTTGGCTGTGAAATTACTCTTCACTTGAAAAGGGTAGACTGTGTCTGCTAAATACTGTTCTTAACTTGCTTTAATTCCTGTCTCTCTCTGATCTTGTCTTTTTGTTTCCTTGTTTATTTGCCTTTCTTTTTCCTACCATCTCAGAACAATGACTGGGATTGCCTGTATGTCTAGAAACGATCTCATTCTTTTTAGACCAGCTAGCTAACTGTGGAACTTGACCTTTTAAAACTGTGAGATTAAATGAAGTGTTAATACTTCAAAATATCTTTGTAGAAAATGAGTTTAAGTAGGTACTTAAAAACTGAAATGAAACAGAAGCATTTGATATGTTTTTAAAAGTCCATTTTTTTAGTCTATGTCCACCACAAGAGAATGCTTATTCTGCAAAAGAAATAAACAAGCTGTCACACACACAAAAAAACACTGCTCTCTGCTTTTCTTCTTTTGCTAGAAGCTGGAAGCAGCAATTGTGATTCTTGCTGACGTTCTTATTGATAAAAATGAGGAATGAGAATAGCTTTGGAAAAAGGTGGACACTTGTGAATTTTAAACAGCTGTATAATTAAAAAGAAAAAACCCTATATGTTTTTTCTGGGAGTTAGCTTATTTTGATTTCTTTCTTTATCACGTTGTTCCCTCTCCGTTCAGCAATAAAACTGAGCACCCACTTACTGCCGGGCACCATGCTAGATGCTAGAGAAAAGAAGAATCACCATAATAATACTGTCCAATTTCACTTTGTTAAATGCTCTAAGTGTTTATATCTCTCTCTTTATTGCAGACCTCAGAAAATAGGAGTACCCCATTTTACATATAAGAATCTAATACTTAGGAGTATATGGTTTGAAATTGGTAGAATGGGTAGATGAGAGCAGAATATATGCCTCTAAAGCCCATGAGCTTAATTCACACGTTATATGTTCTATGCCACTTTTCCTGGCCTTCTGTGCTGAAGGTCCCTGGGGTTCCCAAGCAAGTGAACAGGCTCTCACAAGGACAGGTCATTAGGCATCTAGTACAGGAATGCCCCCAGGCCTGGTGCACAATACAAGTGCACAGTACTTCCTGAAGGAGAGGGGAGATGTCACAGGGGAGATGACATTTTAACAGGCCACCATTTCAGCCATTCAGTGAGGTTCAACGAGTTAACTCTTGACCAATGATTAAAAGTTTGCTAATGGAGAGGAGATAAGCGCCCGCAGCCAGAGGGCCAGTGGACCAAGGTGTGAGCTGTAGGGCGTTTTGTGCTTGAGGAATGCTGAGCAGTCCTGTGTGGCTCAGGGAGACCTGTACAGCCACTGTTCTGGCTGTTCTCAAATACATTGTTTTATTATATTCTACGACAATCTTGTGAAGATTTTTTTCGATTGTCTGGGATGGATGGAGGGAAGTGATGTGTTGAGAAACTATAAATGTAAGTTGGCTATAGACGGAGATTCCTTTCTGCTACCCAGTTTTTCACCTTTGTTATTCTTGGGAGATAATAACACGTCAAAAGTCCCTTGAAAAGCTCTTAATATCTGATGCGCACTTTGAAATCTATGCAAACTAGTTAATTACTCTCTGTTGAAAATAGGAAGGGAGCAATTGAAAATCACCCCATGAAGTAATACGCATTTATTAAGTGTTTTTCATTTGAAAATATGTTGGTTTAAGATTTCAATAGCAGTGTGTCTAAAGGCATCTTGCTTATCTACTCTCTCAATTTGCTGGGAGCATAGACATGGCCAAGTGCTCAACTTGGACTTCTTTATACCCCCAGTAATTGGTGCAATGTTTAATTCTTGTGGGGCATTCAGTGTTAAAGTTTGAATTAATGAATGAATGCAACTTTTGTGTGGTTAGTTCTGATTTCATAATGAGGCTGAATGAAAATTTTAATTTGGCTTAAAATGCATACAAAATTTAGTAGCAAAGAGTAGAAGAAGCATCTAAGTATTTATTTTAAGCTAAAAGAAGAAGAAATTTGAGGATTTCTTCTCAAAAGCAATTTGGAGATAATTATTTCTACTAATAGCAAAGTTACTAACCCTTGTGATCTCTTCTAAAGCTCACAGTGGAACCAGGTCCTTCTTTTTCCAGACCTTAGCCTTCCACTCCCGATAAAAGCAATTTCTTTCCACTTAGATTTTTATTAAGAAATTATTCTCAGTTTATAGGTGAGATTATTCCTGCCAAAGCTACTGAAGTATATTTTAGAATTGCCCCAGATGTACTGTTTTTCTATAGGACAAAATAAAAGAAAAGCAACAATGCACAAGTAAGGTATAGGGCAATTTTTGCTTATTTAGTCTTGGTCTTGAACCTCAGTCCTCTAGCTGTACTTTTGGGCTGAAAGCTCTCTGAAGTCCCCTTTTAAGTCAAAATAAATCCAGAAATCTCATGAAGCCAGAGAATGAGTTCAGACATTTTCATTTCATTTCATTTCATTCATTTGTCTGTTAGTTGCTCTACTGGTTTATTATTTTCATACATTAATTCAGTAAATATTTATTGAGTGTCCACATTCTGTTAGAAATTATGCACAACAACAATATAAGTGTTTTGCTTTTTTCTTAATTGAGAATTGGACAGAGTTCTTTCACAGTTTAGTCCTTTGACTTATAAAATGCTCTTTTCCATCTATTAGAACAGGGCACATGGTATAGAACTATTTAAGGAAAATGTCTAACATGCATTGTTGATTAAATTAGTAAGTTGACCATGTGGAATTGCCATATTCAACTATCTGACCTCCTGAAACAACAAGTTCTTATAGTTAAACCTAATAAATGAATATTTTCAGTATAAAATTAAATATTTTTAATAGTTGTTTTTCTAATAAAATTTTTAGGAGTAGTTTTTGCTAATAGTGAAACTATTGCAATTGCTAATAGCAATTACATTATGTGTACACATGCCTTTGATGGTTATTAAAAACAGGTGTTTTGTGTTCTTGGTAAACATCTTAAAAAGTATGTAACATTAATTTCAATAATGCAAAATTTCAATACTGAACAAAGGCAGCCTTTATACTATGTTATATACTGATATTGACAATACTTTTTCATTTCAGAAGATTCTGAGTCCTCAAAATATTAATTTGGCTTAAATAGACTTTTGGGAATATGGCTATTTTTACCTTTGTTGTTCTTTTAGTACAAGTGTTTTTTCAGTGTATATTAATATATGGCTGGTGTTTATAGTATTTATGTACTTTGCATATATCTCAGGCACAGCTTCTTTCCATTTGGAAAAACTGTGACCCAGGAGTGGCAGTTCACATAGTAAACATACCTTCAAAGTGGTTCAGTGGAAACGCCAGTCAATTGCAGAATAAGAATCCTAGTAGGCATTTTTTTTTTTTACTTTAGTATTAATGATAATGTATTTTATTTGCCAGCACAAACTGAAAAATTGGACTTTGAGTTTCCTTTAGGAAAGTTCTATGCAACAAATGCAAATTGTCGACCATCAGAAAAAAAAAAAAAAAGTAAATAAATAAAGCCTTAGTTTTTTTTCCCCTCGGACTTTATAAAGCAATTTAGGGATTACAAAATAAAGTCACGATATCAACTAAGAAAAAATTATTTTAATGTTTCTAACATTTTTGGGTGTTTCGTGTTTTCGAAGAAACCAATTTGCTAAAATGTACGTGCTCATTCGGAGCCTCAGCCCCGCACCCTCGCCTGGTGTGAGCCTAGTGCAAGGGCGAGGTGACCGCGCGTGCGGGCTTGTGGGCTGGTTTGATGCACCCCATTTCTCAAAACGCCTCTGTTCTCCCGGATCGCAGACAGTGAGCCACAGCTCCGAAGAGACATGGTTTTCTGCCAGAGTCTCGTGGCCACAGTCTGCGCCTTCTCTGAGCAGCTCCTGGCAGCCTTAAACCAGATGTTTGACAACAGCAAGGAGAATGAGATGGAGACGTGGGAGGCCAGCAGGAGGTGGCTGGACCAGATCGCCAACGCAGGTGTCCTTTTCCACTTCCAGTCGCTCCTGTCGCCAAACTTGGTAAGGAACCACGGTGTCTGTGGCAGCTGCAGCATCCGTTGTAACATATTCCCAAGTAACAAGTGGTTATTCGTGATCCTATCAGCAGTCATTCAGCTTCTTCGAAAGAATAGATTTTTCCCCGGGCAAGTGTGGCTCTGATAGGCATGTAAAAGGAGCTCTTTCTTTCCTGATTTTGATCCAGTCTCAGAGGCTGCTAAAAGCTGAGAGCCTCCATCTGTTATTAATCCTGCCTCCCTAAGCACTGACTGCTAAGGTCGTCGGGGGAATGAGGGCCTTCCTGCTACTGTTCGTTATTTCCAGCACAGGGAAGAGCCTGCTCTGAAACCTAGCCTCCTGCTGAGGCTGATATTCTGGAGCATTCTTGATAGAGAGCTCTGACAACTCACATGTCACACAGTCTGACAATCTGTTTAAAATTTGCATGTGTTAAGTGATTCTATTTCCTTCCTTTGTAATCATGTTTGTCCTGTTAAATCTAAGAACATTGCCTTAATTATGGTAGAATGTTCCAATGTTTATGCATTAGTTTTCCACAGTGGGTGTGAAGAAAGCATCTCGAAATACATGATTGATAACACCGTGGTGAACTTAGAGGTTTTTTTACCCGTACTTTCTGTGGTTCTGGGAGTTGTCATGGTGTTTAAAGGCAAATATATCCACTTCTAAGTATAAACTTAAGGTGCTAGCTAAACGGAATTGTGATTTTGAACATCACATGTTATTTTATCTGTTAAAGTACGCAGAAAATATAGCTACATGGTTAAGATTTTAAATGCATGTATATGAGTTTATACATCAAAATAATGTTTTTCTTCAATGGCATTGAGGGTAGGGAGTCATTGCTGTATTGTACGGTCGTAAAAGGTTCTGGAATGATAAGGTAAGGAAGCCCATCTCATTGTACTTCAGAGAAACAATTAGATTCTCCTGAAAAGACTCTATACTCCACATGGGTGATCAATTTCTTATTTGGTTGCTAATACAACCAAATAAGACATTTAATTAATGAAAAATTTTAAATATGGCACTTTTGAAAATGTGTTTAAAAATAAAAATTAATCATTGTCTATAAAATAGAAATTACATAAGACAGGAAGCCTACGTCCTAACATATGGTAGGCATTAAGTGTTGAATGAATGAATAAATGAATGAATAAGGCTCTATTTCTATTTTGTTCTTACTTTAACACTGACATTGTTTAATCAAGTGCTGGTACTTTAACTTTAAACTTAATTTTAGTTGAAATTTTATTTATTTATAATTCATATCTCTGATAAGTGACATATCCAAGTTATATAATGAATTCTTAAAACTAAACAATAAAAAGACAACTCAAAAAGTGGGCAAAGAACTTGAATGGTTTCTCCAAAGAATGTATGAAATTGCCAAAAAGCATAAAAAAGATGAACATCATTAGCCATTAGGGAAATGCAACTCAAAACTACAGTGAGATACTCTATCACATGTGATGTGGATGGCTATAGTCCAAAAGACTGTCAATTTTAAGTATTGGTGAGGTGGTGGGGATGTAAAACAGTGGAGCAATTTTGGAACAGAATTTCCATATTACCCAGAAATTTTATTCCTAGGTAATACCCAAGAGAAATGAAAACTTACATTCACACAAAAACTTGTACACAAATGTTCTTAGAGAGATATTCACAATAGCTAAAACATGGACATGACTGAATATCCATGAACTGATGAATGGATAAACAAGTTGTGGTATATCCATACAGTAGAACATTGGTCAGCAATAAAAAGGAATGAGGTACCGATACCTCATTCAACATGGATGAAAGTTGAAAATGTTATGCAACATGAAATAAGCCAGTTACAAAAGACCACATATAATGCAACTCCATTATTATTCATTGTGTGAAATAGTCAAATATCTTAGAGACTGAAAGTAGGCTAGTAGTTACCTGGGGCTAAGGATTGGGGGTTGGACTGTGGGGAGTGAATGCTTATGGGTACTGAGTTTCTTTTTAAGGTGGTGAAAATATTCTAAAATTAGATGGTAGTTATTTATATAGCTCTGAATATACTAGAAACCCCTGAGCTGTGCACTTTACATGGGTGAATTTTATAGTATGTGAATTACATCTCAAGAAAGCTGTATTTTTTTTTAAATTGTTCTTGCAAAACATTTTTTGTTTATTACAGAATTGATTAAAAATCCAAAGGTTACAAGAAAAAAATGATACCCAGTGTCTTTCTGCCTCTAAAACAAGAGCATAAATGCCTCCCAGGACTGTGAAGGGCTCTCTGGGAGCTGCAGGCTCTGCGACCTGTGTTCCTGAGCTCTGAGCACAGTCCTGGTCGCTTGGGTGTGGCTTTAGTCACATCAGTTGCAGCTTTGTGGCATGCACTTTAGCAAGCAGAGTCCAGCCTCTTTGGAACTTTTCTTCCTGTGTGTATTCCTCTCAACTGGAAAAATGCTGATTCTTTAGTCCTGTCTTTCCATTTCCGTTCATGGCATTTTTCGACTGCCTCAAAGGACTTTAAAAAATAGCAGTTTAGGAAACATGTATCCAGCACTCACTGCATACCATACGCTATATTATGTACCACACCAACGTGCAAAGGTGACAATTCTCTTAACCTCTTGATTTCTACTCTGATTCTTTTTTACACAATGGAAATTATTTACTGTCGCCTGCAGTTTCTACTAATGCTGCCCAAAATATATGGCTATAAACATAAAGCAACTTTTAAAACATGTGTGTAAAGCATGTTAACGTTATTGCTTAAAAGTATCATTGACATTCCTAAGGAAACAAATGTCACCTTTAAAGGGTAAGCGATATATCATAACGCTCATTATTCTTTCATGAGAAAATTAGTAAAAGACTCTACGTAGTGCACTAAATTGCTCGTAGGAAGGCGAGAACCTAGCACTAGGAAGATGGTATTGCTGAGACAGGCACTGAACTTGTTACCACGCCTGGCCTTAGCTGGCCCAGCTAGAAAATAACATGCTGTAAGAATAAAACAAGTGGCTAAAACAAATCAGATCTTACAGGATTCTAGGGTAAGGCCCCATAAGGGCAAGTGAGATGAAAATGGTTCTTATCCCCAAGCCCTTCGAAAGAAAAATCATTACACACATGCAGATTGCTTTGATCACAGTTTTGATAAATTCCAAAATGGATAATGCACAGGTTACCTTATTATAAAATAGGATGACCATTATGTATTTTGGCTTTTTATTAAAACAACATTTTTGCCATTCAGTTGTTGCATTTATAAGATTATAGAAATTTAGAAGCAAATGGCATGCTTTTTTGGTACAGAGTTATTTGTACGTAATAAAATAAATATGATTAGACTCTAGCTACAAAATAGGCTAAAGAGTTGTGTAGAACCATTTAGACAATTGAGAAAATTAGAAGTATAAAACTATAAAAGAAATTTGTAACTGAGAGATTTATTAATTTTATTTTAGATAGCAAACTTTTAGTTAAGTGTTGATAATTTGATTTGTATGTGAATAAAACAGGCGAAGTTAGCTTGGGCCTGGAGATGTTATGTTATGTAACGTTATGTAATGTTAAGCTACACGGTGTTATGCTCTGCTGTGTTCTGTGGTCTACACAATCCTATTATATCACCCCTGTATTGTTGGTTTTTTTTTCTTTCCAGACAGATGAACAGGCCATGCTAGAAGATACACTGGTTGCACTATTTGATCTGGAAAAGGTTTCTTTTTACTTTAAACCATCAGAAGAGGAACCACTGGTTGCAAGTACATAGTTAAATGTTTTATAGAATTTTTTGCCATCAAACAATGTATGGTAGTACTTTGATATTAATATATTTAATATGAACTTCAAATTGTTTTATTTAAAATACAATATTTAGAGAAATTAATTAAGAACAACAATTTGGAAACGATAGAAAGTATACATAACTTAAATCTACAGATAATTCCAAACTTTTATTTTTATATATTAGTTTGGCCTCCAGAACTCTTTGAGTGTGTGCATCAGATTTTGTGCTAGTCAAGATTTTCTTCCCTTCTTTTTAATTTTTGTTATTGTGGTAAAACATACATACCATAAAACTGACTAACCAATTTTCAGTGTAGAATTCAGTGGCATTAAGTATATTTACAATGTTGTGCAATCATTTCCAACATTCATCTCCAGAATTCTTTTCAGTTTCCCCCTCCTTTAGTCCCTGGTAACCCCTTTTCAGCTTTCTGTCTCTATGAAGTCGCCTATGCTAGGTAGCTCATAGAAGTAGGGTCATAGAATATTTGTTCTTTCTACTGCATTTTTATATCAAAATTTTTTTTAAATAAAACGACTGCCCTAATATTTCTGGCTGTGTGGATAAACTCTGTAGCTTCCAAAACTTTTTCTCAAATATGTAGCGAAATTGACTGAATTGAGTTTGCCCTCCGTATCTTCAGATGTTCCTATAGAGAATGTATTAGTGGGCAATGAAAACAAGTATTTAGGGCCAATAAGAAACAGAGGAATCCTATGTTATGCTCACATTGTATAAAATTTAGATCTAAACCAATGGAGAAAGACATTGTAATTATCTGATCTCACAATAATTGATAAAAGTTATAATTTTGAAGTAGACACAGATTCAATACTTTTTGCCAGCTTAAAAATGAAAATTGAAAATCATTTCATCTGGGTGTCAAGAATTTTAATGTGTATAAATATAATCACAATAACTATCTTGATTCATTTATCTATCCTCTAAAATATTCAGGCTGGCAAAAGCTTTTTCTGTCTTGTTCACTGTTGTATCTCTAGCACCCAAGAGAGTGCCTAGAATGGAAAAGGCAACATTTTCCCCCACGGAAATGAGTGAACAAGCATCAGTTAAGTATATGTACTGCCACAAGCAAAAGGGCTTTACGATTATAAAAGTGGAAGGAAAAACAAATTTAGTGTGAAGAATGAAGTAGAGAACTTGCAACAGGACACAGTTTTATCTAATGTTGCAAAGAAGTTACTTAATGAAATGAGGGACTGAAAAGTATTCCTTTGATTTAGCAATTTGACATCATTAGACATAATAAAGGCAGTAATTTAGAGATATACTTTCGGAGAAATAGCAATACCTAGGGTTTAATCTCTATTTCTTTTAGTTTCTGCAAGTTACCACTTATCTACTATTTCAACATTGTCATAAATAGGTTTAAAATTTATCTTTGAGTCCAAGAAATCTTTAGCAGTTTGCTATTTTTCTGTCTTTTGTTTGTCATTAGTGTGAAGATCTTATGTATTATGGTAGATGTTAACTTCTCCGGAGCTGGGAAGGGGGTTCTTACTTATTTTCACACTTCTAGTACAATAAATAGAGACTCAATAAATATTCATTTAATCCATGATCTGATTTAAGGATGATAATCATTCATTCATTCATCAAAAATTTCTTAAATTCCTACTACGACCAAGCACTGTTTTAGGTGTTGGATATGGTAGAGAACCAGACAGCCCTCAGAGGGCTGATATTCAAGTGGGGACATATAAATAATGCACAAGACAAAATGAGGTAATTTGATAATAAATTAGAAGATAATAATATGAATGTAAAAGGGAAATAGAAGAGAACACGGGATGAAAATACAGGGGCAGATGGAAGGGTGCCAATGTTTAACAAGCTAGGGAGGGAAGCCTTCCTAAGGAGGAGAGCAGAGACCTGCAGGGGTGAAGGGAGCAAGTCAGCCAGGCATTTGGGAGGGGTGTTCCAGAGTTACTGGAGGCCTGGCATGCTCTCAGGATCGGAAGGAGCCCTGTGTGCCTGGAGTGGAGTGACTGAGGGGAAAAGAGTAGGAGATAAGGGAGAGGAGGCCAGACCATTGAAAGAACTTTGCCTTTCTAGTTAGGCCATGGGGCAGAGGAATGACATGCTCTGCCTTACCTATGGAAGGCTGCCTCCGACTGCTGTGTTGAATAGACCATTCCTGGGGCAGGGCAGAAGCAAGGAGAGCAGTTAGGAAGCTACTGCAGTGGCCCGGGTGCAAGATGAGGGTGACTTGACCTTGACAGTAGCTGTGGAGATGGTAAAAGCCATTGATTCTGTATGTATTAAATTATGAAGATAAGAAAACAGAATTTTATTAAATGTTCACCTTCACTGATAAATAAGAGAGTACAAGAAAATGAATTACAATGTTAGGAATATAGGTTATATTCAAGGGAGAATTTGTCTGCTAAAGGGAATTATTTGATAAGGATAATACTATTTGAACAAATTGTATGGCCTTCTGTGGGCATGTATAAAAATGGGATATATTTTCACTTACTTGAGTAATGTAGGCACAACTTTGCTGAAGGTAGATAAACTCTATTTTCACAATATAACTTAATGTGTTTTTTTCTTCTACATTTTGCCTGAGGAACTATACACTCACAGGAGCATTGTTTTCCATGGTTTAAATATGACACTTCTGGTGAACAAGCAGAAGAGGAACCAGTATCATAAGCTTGATAAAGTATTTACTATTGAATATCCACTAGGAGAGATTTAACGTTGACATATTGAAAATATACTGTTAAAGATAATTAAGACCATTAAGTAACATTAGTATGTAAATGTAGATGAATCTGTGACAAACACAAAAACTGTGAGATCCATTTGACAATACATTTGTGAAACCTCATTTAGTGAAAGGTCAGATCCAATGCTTTATTATTAGATATTCCAAATAAAATAAAAATGATGATAGGTCCAGCCGGTGTGGTTCAGTGGTTGAACATTGGCCCATGCACCAAGAGGTCACCAGTTCGATTCCAGGTCAGGCCACATGCCCGGGTTGTAGGCTCGATCCCTGGGAGGGACGTGCAGGGGGCTGCTGATCGATATTTCTCTCTCATTGATGTTTCTATCTTTCTCTCCCTCTCCGTTGCTCTCTCTCTAAAATCAATAAAAATATTAAAAAATAACAATGATGACAGGAACTAGTTATTCTAAGTTAATTTCAGGAAAGAAGAGAATTATTCAGTACCCAAGAGTCATCACATCTTATTTATGTGGTGTAAGGAAACCAGAGCTTTATCATTAATTGCATGTGATTTAATTTCTTTAAGCATAGAAGCAGAGGTGTCAGCTTGACTAATTAATATGTGTCACTATAATGAAAACTAGTTGGCTGCATGTCTATGCGAGAAGGACTTGAGTGCAGAAGGTGGAAGCATGAAGACATAAAGAGAACAAATAGAACATTGACCTTGAAGTCAGGAAACCTTAGTTCAGATCCTGGCTCTGTTCTTATCTGCAAACATGACAATATTAGCTTTCTCTGACTCACAGGGTTGTGAGGTTTAAATAAAGTAATGTATTTGAAAGTCTCTAGCATTATATGAGGCTCATGGTAATATTTGGTAAATATTCAAATCCATCCTCCTTGCTTTATTACTCTGTATTCTTTTTAAAAAATGTTATTTAGCATTATTCATACTTATTTTTATATTAAAGAATAGTGAGAGTCTAAAATACGGCATGGCTAGCATGTAGAATTCGAACATTTGGATTGAAGACAGTTCATTTGCTTGGAGGAAATAATCATTAAGTGTATGCAACATGCTAAGTGCTAAACTAAATTTTGGGGATATAATGGTGACTCAGTAAAACAAAGTCCCTGTTGTCATAAAGCTTAGAGACCAGTGAGAAATAGAAAGGAATAAATGGGTGATTTGACTCACTTCAGTATAGGGAAAGTGCAAGATGCTTCCCATCTCGTGCTATGTAATTGGTGGAGGAATAAAGGAGCTAAATGATTAGATAGTATATAATTAAATTTTGTGGGAAATCTATATGTTTTTGGAGAATAATATAATGACAGCAGATCTTCCGCTTTCAAATTGTGATACAGGTAATTTTACAGTAACTATTAGGGGAGTGACTATTTCTGAGCCCCCACTCTCTATGTGCCTGGAGCGGTGATGCCGTGTCCCTGTCTTCATGGAGCTCACAGCCTAGTTGGGAGATAAGGGAGGAACTTTGTCAACTTTGTTTTTCATAGTTGATAAATTTCCACAAATAAAAGGCAGCAATTTTCAACTCCACATTATTAAGCATTTTTCAGGCACACCAAATACTTTGAGAGAAATGGCTTTCCATTCTTTTATGTAGTGCTCTTAGTTTTTTACTTCATTTAAAATTCAGTGTACTTGATTATTTCCACTTTCAGTTTCTTAATTTCTGGTAAAGCATCTTTATTTGTTCTTTGTTAGTCCTATAATATGGAAGTCAACAGTTACATTACTATTTTCATTTCAATAACATTATTTGTTTGGTAATGCAGAGGTTGGATACATTGGTGCCAAAGAGTAAAGAGATGGAATTTAACAAAATTAAAATATATATGAAAGACATTATATGAAAAGGAGAGCTAGAAGATACCAGTATTTAAACTATATAAATCTGTATTTTCTTTGGTGTCCATGCATCTTTTTTCCTTTATTTTAGAAGCAGGAAAACAAAAACGGATTTTCCCAATCATTAAAATGCAGTTAATTTCCAACTCTGTAACTGAGAAGTTTATTTATTATTTTTTCTAAACCAAAATCCTTCATCTCTCTTTAAAAAAGTAAAAATAAAATGAGCATTATTAGTATAGGCATAGCAGAGACTTGTACATGCTAACACAATGCTTCTATTGATTGCAGAATTACATACATTTAACAAGAAAATTGGAATTTTTATTAATGGTATTTAATCTTGAACTCTACTTTTTTACACAGTTTTATTTCAAAACAAAAAGGTTAGAAATAATAAATATTGAGTCAAGAACATATATTAAATGCTTACTAAATTCTGGCCTTATTTTTTAACTGGGTAATGTGACTATTCTAGGTTTTATGAAAGATTTTACATCCCTTTTTTTTTAATTATGTGGAAATTATTTGTCATGGCGAAGTATCATAAAATGAAGAAGATTTATGACAGCACTGTGAAATACTCCTGCAGCATTTCAGCTTTTCGAATTAGCTGGTTTGTGGTTTTCTTTGAGTAAGTAAATTTAGGATAGTTGGAAATAGCTAAAAGAATTTGGACAGATAATTTCTAATGACTGCTGGGCATCATAGAGATAATCCAATCTTAGCCTGGAGCTCAGGAAATGGAGCTTGCAGTGCCCGAGCTGATTTTGATAATGGCTGCTATCTACTCAATTTCTTGCACACTATTTAAGAAGTGTACCCCGTGGACTCATTTTGAGTAAAATATAAATGAGGCAGCTGGCCTAGGAGATTTCGATTCCAAACCACGTGTAGCTTAACTTCTCGTTTGGTTAAGTGAGACATCTGGTGCGTCAAAGTGTAACGAAGTTTCCTCTTACAGGGTTTTATACAGTAATGAACCTGTTGCTGTAGCTAATGAGAATCTGATTTATAGTCTTTCCCCGAATAGCACCGTAAGGATGCCGAGCCTGAACTTGATAGACATGGGTGCTTTTAAGATATTAATATCTAGTAATTTTCAGGATTCGCTTTAAAGGTTAACAACTATGTTATTCAGCATATCCTGATTTTAGGAACTAATACAACATTAATTGTCATTTTAGATGTTCCCCTTACATACCAGGTGGAAGGAAGCCGGCAGGCCCTGAAAGTTTACTTCTACATTGATAGTTATCATTTTGAACAACTGCCCCAACGGTTGAAAAACGGAGGAGGGTTCAGAATTCATCCCGTTCTCTTTGCACAAGGTAAACTGCTTCGCGTTTCATACTTCATGCACCAAAGTTACTTTATCCTGATCAATTCTTTTTTTAAAAATGAATTTCATTGTAATCATCATCATATTTTTTTTTCATTAATTTAAACATTTCTGCATAATGCCTAAGTAATGTATTTACTTCTGGGGATGCTTATTAAGAAAAGAATCACATACGGTTTAAATATTTGTAAAGTAAAATTGCAGCATCATTTATCGTAGAGAAACAGGACCCAAGTGGTTGAAATAAAGATAAATTAATTTGGCTTAAATAAATGATGGTAGAGCCATTAAAGTTGTATGATTAAACATATTTTATGAGCCAGGTAGCTCAGTTGTTTAGAGCATCGCCCCTAAGCCAAGGTTGTAGGTTCGATCTCCAGTCAGGGCACATACAAGAAGCAACCAATGAATGCATAGATAGTGGAACACAAATCGGTGTTTCTCTCTCTCTCTCTCTCAAAAAAAAAAAAAGGTTGACAATACGCACATGCAGATTATAAAAAAGAATTTATATTACAGTTTCAATATGTATATACTTATACATATGTAAAATGCTTTCAGTATAATTGGGTGATTAATGATTTGTTTATTCTTTGAGTTTTTCTGTATTATGTCAATTTGTTAATAAAAATGTGGGAGGGGGCGGACAATGAGTGCCAACCTCAGTAGAAGAAATTAAGATTAACATAGAAGATTCTTTCAGTGAACAGGTTTCCAAAGGAAGGTCCCAGATCTTTTTTTATTTCTGAAGTCATAAATGCTGCCCAGAAAAGATCAGAAGTCCAGGTTATTGTGTAATTTCCTCTAGTCTATGTCTTTTTTTTCAAAAAATTTATGCTGTGGTGACAAGAGTATATCAATTTTTCTGAGTGGTACAGTAGAACATTTCATTTTTTCATCTTTTGAGTTTTCAAGAACTGCATTGGTTTTGCTATGGAATTTTTATATTCTAATAAAAAATCAGAAAAACAAAGAAATAAAATCAACCTCTGTAACTGAGGAGCAGACTGCATATGAAACTTAAATTCACTACCAAGTGAAAATTCTGCAGGTACCACCTGCATATTATGTTAATTCTAAAAACAATGACCACCACAAACCGATTCTTGGCAAGAATGTATTTTAGCAAAGGAAAATTGCAGGGAAGAGATCTTAGGAGTCATCAGAAGGC